CAACCACACCCAAATATGGCTACCGACGGCGACAAACGGCCACCAATGCTTTTCTTCACTCTTTGGTCTACTTTGGACGACACTAGCGCTAAGAATTTTTCATTTTATCATCTTTGACATACACATTTAAATCTATATCGTAAAAATCAGGAATTTTATCCACTTTGTAGTGACGGGATTTATGTTGGATGCATATAGCCAAAAATTTTCATTTAGTTATGCATCTGCCTTCAACGTTATCATACTAGCTTCACTTCTTACATTCACTATCCATTTAACATAAGAACAAGGATAATTTTTGCTATGTTGACCGACTCCACGGAGACCGGTGCACCTCCGATCGTGAGACGCATAAGAATTTCCCCAGTGAATCAGCACGCCTGGTTGGGAATGGAATAGTTACAATTCACAGATCACAGGTGTTGAAAATGCTGTCGCGCTACATGTAGATGTCTTTCGCAATTAATTGTTTCCTTAAAAAAAAAAACAGGCACAACAATCCTTCTTGCACTTAACAGCATATGAGACACAAATTTTCACTGGACGGAGCAGACCTTCGTGGGTTACATATGGATACTATGAATTCCAGTTGCGAATATTTTGCGTATTTATGTACCCCTGCAAGTGAAACCACTCTTCAACAGAAAAGAATGTCACTTGCGGACTGATCTCACCTTCGATGATATACTCTAGAAACCAACTGCAAAAATGAACACTGCTAGCTGGAAAATGTGGCTACAAGGCATGCATCAATTACTGCTGTTTTACAGCTTCAGCAATTCTGTTGCTACTCTTGCACTAGACATTAGCATTCCGGTCTCTTAATTTGAACGTTTCTGACTTTCTAAGTGTATGTTCAAGGCTAGTCCCTATGCCATTAATTTATAGTAAGAACTCGGCGCTTATGTTTCTTGTCATTTAAAAGTCGTGTTGTTCTACGTTTATTCACCAAATTGTAAATTATTTGTCTGCTGAGAATTCTTTCATCACGGAATTTGTCGAAATTTCCGTAGACACTTTCTAGCAGATCTGTATCTCACATACGAGGTGGCATCGTAAAGTTCACGGACTGCTATTGTTTTACCGGCTTCGGTGAAAGATGATGAAAGGGGAGGCCAAGGTCACATTACCGAAAGCTTATTGCATCAGTCTGCCACATGACACTGTTTTTACACAAGTGCTTTTTTGACTTCATGTTTCGTTTTGTCTGTGATGGACGGCAAACTTGAGCAACGAAACGAGAGTCTGTGACTAACAACATGGTTATCACTCCCCATCCTCCCTACTCATCCGACTTGGCCTGCTGTGATTTCGTTGTTTCCCAAATTGAAAATCAATTTGAAGGGCCGTTTTTAAACAGTGCCAGACATTGAAAGGGAATTGCCAGCAGTACTCGACAGCATTAAGGAAAATGACTTCCACGGTGCCTTTCAAACGTAGGAGAAATGAAAAGACTTTATCGCTGTATATGTTTCCAATGAAACTATTTTGAAGGAGATTGCAGCCAAAATTAAGTTACACTAGCATTCATTTTTTGACCTAGTCCAGAAACTTTCCTATCAGAAAGTAGGTGTCATACAGAAATACATGTTGCCTTAAAGTATACTGCACCATGATGTACACCACTGCTTACTAATTGTAAGAGAACAAATGCCTGCTGCTTACTGCTGACAAATCATAAACTCCCACACATCAACTGTACTGCTCGCCATGAAATACAATACCGTCAAGCAATCCACAATTACTTATCTTAGTTCCAAATGTTATCGGCCATCAGGCATGCTGATTCATCAGCAAAATTCATATGGATCTCGCAGCAAACAGCACACCGGTTGCTGTGACCCATTCAATAAAGTTAAAAGAAAAACCAGGGTAGTTTGACTTCGGTGCTATATATAATGCATGCACAAATATAGTCTTAGCTCAAGTCATGTAATTTGGAGACTACGCAAAGAACCGTCATTGGTACGTACCTCCGAAACACTGGTTCCTATATACAAATTTATTGGGCGTTACATTTTAAAATCCAATCTAACAAGTTAAAGCTATCACTATAGGATGTTGATTCTCACCATCAAGCCTTAGGTGCAATAACAAATGGTTTAATGTGAGATTCATGTTGGACGAAGAGGCACTGGAGCAGGCTCCTATATGCATTTCTTTAGTTTTCCCCTATTAATCATTATTCCACCATAGCCCCTGCCATTTTCTGAGGTGTGCAACAGCATTAACCAAGCAACACATTATCACATCCTTGGTCTTCAAGATAAAAGTTTTATCTCTGAGCCGCATTCTGCTGGTCAAAGAGTAAGGAAGTTATTTTGCCTACCTCTTAAGTCTTAAGTTTATGCTATGGGCAAAGAAACCTTTTCTGACTTCATACATTCAGTGTGCCTTTTCCAAAAGTCCTTCTTTGTCTAGGTGACCTTATAGTTTACAATGCAGAATCTGTTTCAGTATTTCTTCAGCTGTCATTCTATTGCCATGGTTTATCCAGTTCTGTGTTCATGGATTCTGTTTTGTTCTATTCATTTTATTCTGTAACCTATATCAGTAAAGTACTGATATGTTTCAAGTGGAGGTTACAGCCTGCACATGCAGGTATTTCATACAAGCAACGATTCATTTGCTGATACGATATTTCAACCATCAATTAATCCACAGTTTCTCAAACTATGTGTCACAATCCCCTTCAACTTACTTTGAGGGTGGTCGCTGAGTTCTCAAGGTGTTTTCAATTCTGCCTCTCAGAAATATCTGATGCAGAGTTTGCCACATCTTGTGCCCATACATTAGCATTTTGATAAAAAAAAAATGATTACAATCCATTAAAACACAACCATAATTCAATACTTTTTTTTGTGAGGAAGTTAGAATTTAGGTTTTGATGACACTTGCATATTTGCAATTGTATCCCTTAAACATTAACAGCTTCAAAAGCCAAGGCCAGTGTCTAGATTAGAGTTAAGTGGAAGGATGATTGATATGGCATAAGGGAGAGTTGGAGATTACATACAGGAGATCGCTTTGGGAAAAAGTATAAGTTGGAGAAACATCTACAATAGAGTATTATTATACAATTGTCAACACAACAATCTGCTGTGTTGACGGTTGTATAATAATACTATATAGTAATACATAACAGGATGCAAACAATAAAGATATACAACAGAAATTAACTCTCTCAACACAGGTTTACTGCAATAAACCCTGTGTCTTACAATAGGTGATGAATTACGCCGGCATCTTCTCAATGGTGCCTCTACTTCATGGAGCAAGTTCCACCATACAGAACATTAGGGCTCATAACTGACTTGAATTTTGTAGGGTTAGGTCATTAAGCCTGGTCCTATAAAATCCAAACATACTCTTTTGTCTCTCTGTTGGCACTTTGATATTCCCCAGCCTCATCCCCTTGGTCAGTGACAGAATTCCATTTGCATAACAAAGTGTAAAATCATTCTTTCCAAATGTCTTCCAAAATTTGCTACCTTTATATATCTCTGATCACATCTTTAGCTTTAAATCTGTCAGCATTCTTCAGTGATTTAATGTAGTGAAGCTTTGTGGTAGTCTCAAAGAAAGAATCTGAGCTAATTACTACAATAGGCTGTGCCATAGCTCAAGCGGTTAGTTGCTGGCTTCCCACCGTGGCAGCCCAGGTTCGATCCCGGGTCTGGTCAAGTGGGATTTGTGGTTGACAAAGTGGTGCTGGGGCAGGTTTTCTCCGAGTACTTCGGTTTCCCCTGCCAACCTTCATTCCACTAAATTCTCCATCATCATAATCACCCGGGGCAGGCTACAATAGGCCAATCAGTGGCCAAATTGCCAAGTGGACCCAGTTTGACTCCACCCGCCACTAAGCGAATTAAAAAAAAATTACTACGATCATGAACACACTAGTCTACAAAGGACAAAAGCAAGAGTTGATACTAATTCACATTCTGAGAGCAGAAAGTCTCCTGGATGGGACAGACACAGGGACACACTACAATGAATATGCAATGATGTCTGCAGACAATGGAAAAATCTGTAGAACATATACTAGGAATAAGGACACTCTGTAGTACTACTCGTACTCAAGCACTGATGTCTTCTGCGTCGACTCTTAGAACTGAAAGATTTTTACAAACAACATGAAAATTGCCAGCTCCCAGCATTCTCTGTGCAGTCTGCTAAGCAAATAATTTATTACAAATATCACAAGGAAACATCCAAACCGGCAATGTGTGATGACACAATTCCCCTTAATAACCACATCTAGCTTACATACTATTTTCTGCATTTTAATCCCTAATCAGGCCTTCCCAGCTTTTCGTATTGGTCATTCTGCCATACACAGTTGAAGAATGATAATGTTACATGTGAATTATTTTACATTGTGCCCTGCTGTATGTTCACATGATTGTGCTGGGTGTATAATTCCTTGCACAGATCAGAGGAAAGTGGCTGCGACCCACTGCACACACGTAGATGATTCTTCAGAACACACTTATAGGTAAATGACTTATTACAAAGAGCACAGGAAAACGGCCGCTCTCCACTGTGTATGCGTTGATGGTCCCTTAGATGAGCATGTCCACTAAATGATTTATTACACACATCACAGGAAAATGGCTGCTCCCCTCTATGAATGCGCTGTTGATGTACCTTCAAGTGACTGTTCCTACGAAATGATTTATTACACATATCACAGAAATAAGGCTGCTCCCCAGTATGCTTGCGTTGATGTATCTTCAGCTCACTACTGCAGGTATATGATTTATTACACAGATGACAGGAAAATGGTCGCTCCCCACTATGTGTCCGTAGATGTACCCTCAGTTGACTCTTAGACAGATAAGACTTATTACACACAGCACATGAAAATGGCCGAAATGAACTATGTATGCGCTGATGTACCTTCAGCACATTGTTGGTGGTATATGATTTATGACACACATTACAGGGAAATGCCCGCTCCCCACTATGTGTGTACTGATGTTCCTTCAAGTGGCTGAGCCTACTAAATGACTTATTACAAACTTCACATGAAAATGGCCGCTCCCCACTATGTATGCGTTCATGTCCCTTCAGATGATTGCGCTGACTAAACGACTTATTACACACTTGACAGGAATATGGCCGCTCCCCACTATGTATGCGCTGATGTTCCTTCAAATGACCCTGTCTACTGAACGATTTATTACACACATCACACGAAAATCGCCTTTCCCCACTATGTTCACGTTGATGTTCTTTCAAATAACCAAGCTGATTAAATGACTTATTACACACATTACAGGAAAATGGAGACTCATCATGTATGAGTCGATGTTCACTTGCAGAACTCTGGAAAAGAGAAACATATATTAAAAGAAATCTAACAGGAAGCAGAAGGGGTTTGAAAGTAAGTTATAATTGACTGCAATATTGTATTACACCCGTTTTGCATGCACACACAAAATCTATCCCTGTAACATGCCATGGTGGCCCACAGGGTTGTGAGATATCAAGGTCTGGACATTTTTCTATGCAATTGGCTCAGAGATGGCAGTGAAGCTGTCAGACATATTCACTGGCCTGCCCTCTACTCCCAAGAAGGTACTAATTTCTGTTAGAGGCTGAGTCATCCTCAGGGCCAGAGTGCAGCTGGAAGGATTAGGTCAACTGAAAATCCAATGACCTCATCAGGAATCGAGCCTGTGGCCTTCCAGCTTGTGGCATAGTTCCTCAACCAACTACTCTTACCAAATGATTGGCCAGGTTTGTTTACTGGTTACATTGTAGACTGGTGTCCTGGAAGTGCTCAGTTTGAATCTTGGCTGAGACACTGTCTACTGGTCAGAGGTATTCATGGCTTCCCTCAGTCCCTCCAACAAATACTAGGATAGTACACTGAGCCAGAACTGCCGGCACACAAATCCTTTCCAATTCTTCATTCTTGAATGGCAGGGTGTGGAGTGGACTTGTTACTTGTTTCACTAAGCATATGGACCATTGACAGGCTCCTGTAAGCAAGTTAACAAACTTCTGCTTTCCATATGAAGCAGACAGTTTGTTCTGCACAGGTACTAGCTTCTTAAAGGAACACTGCTCCATGAAGCAGGTTAGTCATCCTACCTTACATAAGAGTACAATATCAAAATGGAATGTTGCTCATCAGTCCAAACTAAGCAAATATCTTTATTTATATCCTATCAACCCAACAAAACCACAGAGCCATGTATACTGTTAAGAATGAAACCAGAATAAACAGCCACTGCTATGCAACAGCAACCAAAGCATCGTTCTGCAGCAACAAATCATCACATAACAATATAGGATGGTGTCTTCTGTCCAGTCTGTGCTGGGGCAACATAGCAAGGCCCATCGGAAAAATTACTCAGGAAGAAACAAGTCATGGGTCCCAACATGGGTTGTGAACAAGAATGACTTTGTTGGTGAGGGCCAGCAGCAATTTACTGGACTCGACTAGTCTGGTTGGAGGTTACACCAGGAAGTGAGAGGTACTGAGTAAGAGCAAGCAGTCACTCCCCAGTAAAGTGCACATCACCAGCAGTAGTGAGACGCCTCCTCTCATTAAAGAGGAGTCCCCACTTCAAAACATGTAGAAGTCTGGAAGGAACAAAAATATGGTAATGGGTCCCAATGGGTTATGAAACCAAGAATGACTGTGATGCCAAGGACCAGCAGCAATTTACTGGACTGGAGTTAGTCATGGCTAGGAGCCATGAGTTGCAAGCCAGCTTCCATCCAACAAGGATGCAAGAAATGAAGCTGAAGAATCCCCATGGTTAGCAGCCTTAACTAAGCAATGACTAGCAAAGTCATAACAGATTGAGATCTAGCATGTGTAACAGTGATCTGTTAAGTGTAGATTCGTGATAGCATTATAACTATTTGCAGTAACATGTTGTAAGTGTTCAGTATATCCAATTACTTATCCAAACACTGTGTCCAGTCCTTAAAACGAGATAATAACTTTGTTCTGAATATAAAGATGTATGGGAATGGCTTGCACAAAACAAAAGCCAGGAAGAAAATAGTTCTCATAAAATCTGCTGAGGGCTATGCTGGAAGATCATAAGTCTACAAGGAATCAGTGGTGGGGCCTCTGATGTCTCTGCCAGTAGACAAAAAAGGCCCTGCTATCAGTAAGCAAAAAGACAAAGCAACTCACGGCATGTTCGGCCTCTGTTCCTGGAAATGATATTTGCAATGGATCCTCTTCCTCTTCTACATCTGAGACCTCCTCAACTTTCATATTTATGGAATGATCTGCATCATAATATGCTGGACGTGTCTCAAGAGACGAACCTGGGATATATTTCTGTGAATCCATGCAGCCCTGTAAGACCAGCATGCCTTATCAGTCATGGCTGTACTCAACACTACATGAACAGAATTCCTGTTGGAGAGTTAATGGTCACTAACGTAATGCAGAAATCGCCTGTCTCCTGTGGACACTGGATAATTCATTACCACATTTAGAGCAGCCAACCACTGGTCCCTGTTCTGAGTCAAAGAATGAAGTGCACACAATACTCCTTTAAGGTCTGCTTTTAATACTATACCTCCATCTATGTATAGGTCTCCCATGTGGCCTTTCCTTCAGCCTTTATGGTATGCATTCTGTTGTGTGTTATTTAACAAAATATATGATTTGGGACAGTCACACGACAAGTAATCAAAAAGAAACAAAACTGTCAGTACAGAACAACCATACAGACACAATATGACTATATATTGATTAATGACACAATTCAGAAGCTAAATAGTATTCATGTACGCTTGAGGACCCAAGTAAAGGATTGAAATATGTAACGATACCACCAACAACGGATAAAAACAAATGCTGATGCAATAGTGTCTATTTTGTTTCTTTTTGATTGTTTGTTGTGTGATTGTCCCAAATTATATCTCTCCCTCCCTTCATGTTTTCCAACCAAAACTTTGTATGAATGCCTCAACTCTCACATGATCTGCCCATCTCATTTTCTTTGATTTGAGAATTCTAACAGTACAGCTTCTCTTTATGCTGTTTTCTCCAACCTCCAGTTACTTCTTCTATCTTAGATTTAAACATTCCCCTCAGCATCCTGTTCTACACCACTGCAATGTATAATCTTTCTTCTCTTAAAGTGAGAAACCAATTTCCATACACATACACACACACATAACAGCAACTGGAGTTCTGCCTATATGTAGACCTCATGTACTCCAACAGCACATGGCAACACAAAGGATTCTGAACTGAGTAGTACCCAGCATTTCACAGATTTAACCTCCTCCGTTGATTTTTCTTGAATACAACTTAGTTCTTCGATTCACTCATTATACAGGGTAATTTATGTACCTCCTGAAGCTCCGACAATAATTTAGATCACAGTGAAATTGTAGCCGTGTATTTGGTCTACAGAATGAATTCACATTACTGTCTGGGTTTCTGTAAGGACTTATGAATTACCCTGTATTTCCTCATGTTTACTGCTTTTACACAGGATGGAAGCAGTACACCACAAGCAATTTGCAAGGAAAATCAATCCTCTTGAGACATGTCAAATAGGACTTTTCATAAATTCACCCTAATCACCAGACTGGAGAAGTTCTGTGAAAGATGCAGACAAGAAAGAGTACAGGCAATGCTGAACGTAAGTCGAATAGGCCTAACAGTGCACACAGACAGACAACTCACCCCGTCTTCAAGTTTTACTTCCATAAACGTCATTGGCTCAGGATCCTCATCGTCCACATCTGAGTCTTCCTCGACTTTTATGTTGACAGGCTGAACACCATCGTGAGATAATGATGCACGTGTCTCACTATGTGAGGCTGGTTCATCTTTCTGTGAATCCAAGGAGTCCTGTAGAACCACCATATCCTTATCAGTCACAGTTATATTCTCTCACTGCACAGAACAGGATACAGTTTCATTCCTATGACAGTTTTGTGCTGCATCAAACTGATAAGAGCTGTGTTCTACTGAATTTTTTTTGCACCTATGGAGATGAGAATAAGAACAGGTAATTCTGAATATTCTCTGCACAATGAGGAGCTTCATAACTTGTACTCTTCTCCAAGTATAATTAGAATGATCAAGTCAAGGAGGATGAGGTGGGCAGGGCATGTAGCATGAATGGGGGCAATGAGGACTGCATATAGGATATTGGTGGGAAAGGCAGAAGGGAAGAGACCACTGGGAAGACCAAGGAGTAGGTGGGTGGACAATATTAAAATGGATCTTAGAGAGATAGGATGTGATGGTATGGACTGAATAGATCTGGCTCAGGATAGGGACCAGTGGAGGGCTCTTGTGAACATGGTAATGAACTTTGGGTTCCATAAAATGCTGGGAAATTCTTGAGTAGCTAGAGAATTGGCGGCTCCTCCGGAAGAGCTCAGCTCTGTGTGTGAGTGAGTGAGTGAGCGAGCGAGCGAGCAAGCAGGCAAGCAGGCAAGCAAGCAAGCAAGCAAGCAAGCGAGCAAGCAAGCAAGCAAGCAAGCAAGCAATTCTGGATATGAGAGAGAGACACCTAACAGTGGTCACAAAGATATGTAACTCACCTCATGTTCAAATTTTACTTCCATAAATGTCATTGGTGCAGGATCCTCCTCATCTTCCACATCTGAGACTTCAACTTTTATGTTAACAGCCTGAACACTGTGAGATGATGATGAACATGCCTCACTAAGCGAGCCTGGTACAGCTTTCTGTGAAATCAAACGGTTCTGTAAAATAACCAAAACCTGATTTCATACACTGGCTACTAAATAATGCATGGAAACAGGAGCTAGGCCCCATGTGTGTGGGGATTTTAAACATTTTTCATGTTTGTCTTAACTCTTGATGATGGTTTATGTTGTAGTTGATTCATATATCCCATCTTATGTTGGTGCTGGTGTCTGAAGATAGGTCTAGCTCTACTGATTAGGTCCCACTGAATAGGTTTTTACCAGAAGATGGAGACAGAAACCAGTCTAACAAACGTTTCAAACAGAAAGAAAAATAATGAACAATGTCCAGAAACATAACTGCACCATACCCTTATTAGCCATGGCTGTAATGTTATTGCACATAACAGGATACACTTTCTTTGCCATCTCCATTCTGCACTGCATCAAACTACTCTGTTCTACCGGTTTCCTTCTATGTAACTACTGAAATCACTACTCTCTGACACCATACAGGAGAGCCCTTGCTTCTGTCTGCCCTTCCTGGAACTCAACGCCACATTACAATGTTTGCTACAGCTTGTCAGTGGTCCCTGTTCTGAGCCAAACAAATCCAGTCCACATAGTCCCACATTATTTCTTTAAGATCTGTTTCAATGTTGTAGCGTATAGACATATTACCAGGCGGTGACCACAAACCACACAGGCACCCACAGCAACAAGCTCATGCACAACAGAGGAGCTGCCAGAAACTGTCACAGCACTGACCGAGTGGTATGGCAACCAGCATCTAGCCCTAGGGTGCTGATAACAGCTGAAGAAACAAACCCAGGGCGATGGTGAGTCCTAGAAGAATTTGGCTGCCACCTGCAGAGGGATGACCCACCATGCCATTCCGGCACTGTGCAAGGGACACGGCCATCAGAGACCAGGCAGACAATGTTGCAAGAGAAGCACCTAAAGGATGGATACTCGAGAGGAGATAACGGATGCTCCGGAAAGGCAGTAAGGGAATAAGAGTCTGAGATTTAAGGAAGCAGCTACATCTAGGCAGCTAGAGAGCATTCAACAAGACCATCAGAAGACTTTCGGATTGGAGGTTGCAAAGTGAGCAGTCAGAAAAGTTCAGAAGTTAGCTGTAAGGGTGTGTGTGAAGAAGAGATTTAGGGGGTGCAGTCAGAAGCCATTACCAGGGAAATGAGTGATAAAGAGAGAGCATGTGCTGTAGTGATTTGTAAAGTGTGCAGAGCAGCAATGGTGTCTTAATTAAGTGTAGTCACAAGTCACATGTTAAGGTGGACAATAAATCCAATCTCCAATCCAAACCCCATCTACAGTCACATGTCTACATGTGACAATATTATCGTATCATCTATGCATACACCTCCCACCTAGAATCTTCTCTTCTGAATGTTTGTAAAAATCTCCGTATTAATGTCTTGTCTCTTGACAAACATGCTACATGACCTGCACTTCACATCTTCTTTGAATTCATCGTGGTAATAATTCAGAAGACACTAAGTCCTCATAATAATTACAAAATTGAGAAAATAAAACATTAATTTAATTCAAGCTCCTATCAAACCATTAAGTTCACTGAACACATAAATACAGGCAACAAGATCATAAGAACTATTTTGTGTGGCCATAAGTATAGAACACTCATCCTTTCCTTTAAAACATGAAAAATTTCCTCAGCTCTCTGCCATATAATTTTTGGCACTCTTGCTGCAAGAGAATGCAGTCTTTTGTAACCTTGAAACTCGATCAAAGCACATGATGGAGTGTGGGTTGTGTCAGAAAGTGGCTTACAAGAATCCTAGTGATAAATTATGCTACATTTTTATTGGCTTTACACAGAACAGCAGCAGTACACAACAAGCTATGTGCAACAAGAAGCAATCCTCTTGAGACTTATAAAAAAGAATTTTAAGAAATCACATATTCAAAACACTGGAGGAGTTTTGTGTGAGATATGCAGTTCAGAAAGAGAGCAGGCAATTCTGGATGTAAGATATGCCTCACAGTGGACACAGAGGGAACACACAACTCACCTCATGTTCAGCTCTCATCCCTACGACTGTCATTGGTACAGGATCCTCCCTATCTTCCATATCTGAGAATTCCTCGACTTTTATGTTGACAGCCTGATCTCTGTCATGAGAATATGAAGGATGTGCCTCACTATGTGAATGTGGTTCATCTTTCTGTGAACCCAAGCAGTTCAGTAAAACTACCATACCCTTATCAGTAATGGCTGTAATGTCAACACACAGAACAGGATACACATTCATTGCCATAAACATTCTGCACTGCATCAAACTGATAACTGCTTTGTTCTACAGATTTTCTGCTTTGCAACTTCCAACATCATTATCAAGCATTAACACAACACAGCAGAGTCCCTGTTGGTGGCTGCCTTCACGGAACCCATGTCTCAATACAATGTTTGCTATAGCTTGTCCCTGGTCCCTATCCTGGGCCAAAGAATTCCAGTCCACACCCTCTCACATTGTTTCTGTAAGAGCCACTTTATAACAGCATCCTGTCATCCATGCATACCTCTCTCAGCTAACACCTTCCTCTTCCTGATTTTTATCCAAACCTCTGTATGAATGTCTTGTCCTCAAATACATGTTATATGACCTGCTCCTGACATCATCTTCAAACTGATCGTGTTAATAATACGGAAGGCACCAAACCCACATAATACGTACAACCATTCATACAGAACTCAGAAAAAAGAAATGATTTTTAATACAAGTTTGTAACACAGTATTTATTTAGTTCAATGGCAATGCAACTACAGGCAAGAAGACTGTAAAATTCTTTTTCTGTGCATGCAAACATAGAAGACTCACCATTGTATCTTTTAAAGCAGGAAACATTTCCTCAGCTCTCTGTATTATAATTTTTGACATTCTTGGTGCAACAGACTGAGTGTTTTGTTGTAAGCCAGAAACTTGATCATCACACATGATGGGCTGTCTGTTGTATCAGAAAGTGGCTTATAAGAACCCTAGTGATATAGCCACAAAGTTCTGATGTGTGTACCAGGATGTGAGTTGGATTATGTGACCAAGTTCTGAAAGGGAACATACTGATTATGAATGGTGTTAAGACATATGTCACAGTTCCAGAAAACATGTATATACACGGGATATTACATTCTTTCAGTGGATGCCATGGGGCTTAACTATCTTCAGGGTTGTGGCAGTCCAGCAGATTATTGGTGACATACAGCAGGAAGCTCCTGCCTCTGAAATAACGTTAATACCTGATCGTGTTGCCAGGCAACAACTCTGTAAACAGAGCAAGCTGACATCCCAGAGCAACAGCAGGTGGTTGTCACATGACATGTGTTTCCTGCGTGTCTGTCAGCTTGCGTGTGTGCAGTGATGTCATACAGCAACAGTGGGTAGGAGTCACATGATATGTCTTTACTGTTGGTCAATGTCAGTCCCTTGGCTATATAGTATGTGAGCAGAGTTCCTAAGTTGGCAGTTACGAGAGAAATAGTAGAGGCGGAAGCGTGTGAGTAAGCAAACTGGAACTAGTAAGTGACAGAGTTCTGAGTTCTCGGTAGGAGACAGCCATGGGAAGTTCGTATTTGAAGAAGGGCTAATTTGTGATCTGATGACTTTGTGTGTGCTATAGTGCAGTAGGATTCACAGTGTGTAATTTAGTGAGACTTTTACAGTTCTCATGTTATAAATCCATTGCCAGGAAGCAGATAGTGAAGATTAGTGGAAATAGACTGACAAGATTAGTGTGGAGTGATTGTAAATTTTGTAAATCAGCAAGAGTGTCATAATTACTTGTAGTTATGACCTGTAGGTTGTTAATAAATCCAATTACCAATGAAAACCCGCATCTCAGTCACCTAAACACGCAACAATATTCCCTAGGCTACACAAGAACAAATCTCTAAAGACAGTAATCTACATACTTACGCTTCTAAGAGGGAACAATATGTACATTCACTATGCATTTGGATACACTGCGATTTCAGTTACTTGACCCCAGACCTTGAGCTCAGACTTCTTTTCAATGAAATGTAGAGTGGAATATCTAACCAGCAGGAGAAAAAGACATGAATTATTTACACATAACAATGAGATACCCCACACTCAAAATAAAAGTTGAGAAGTACAGAAAATTCACTATGAGAGGCAGGATGTACAATTTCTTTGAGAGCCTGCTAGCAGCAAGTAGTCTCTAACTGGTGTCCACTCTAAACGTACACAAAACTATAGTTAAAAACAAACATACTGTGTTAAGCAACAAGCCAAGAAGATGTATAGGTGAGTACAGCCACAGTTCCATGATTCCTGACTTTGGTACTAGATGGGGGTCAGTGGCTGCTATACCGACTGATCTATCCTAACTCTTAAGTGAAATTGCAAATTTATTAAAAACATATAAAATTTAACACATAAGGTAAGATAAAGTTGTTCCTGTGCTTAACTAATTAAGCACTATGCCCTGAAGGCATATGTTGGAGTGGATGTACAGATCCACGTTTTCTTGACGTCAGCACTTGTTGGACGTGAGCTATTAGCTTCATGCCCTGGCCACTTTACCTCCAGGGGATAGATCACCCAGTACCTATTGGATAGGGGCCGGATGTGTCCAGGACCAGTCTGCATGAAACAGACAAGAGAAAATTCTTGACCCTACTGGGACTTGAATTCTGCCCCCTCAATCTACCAGCCCATAGCCAGTCGCTATACCGACTGCACTATCTCAGCTCCTTCTAAGTGAAATAGCATATTTATTAAAAACATATAAAATTCAACACAATTGTGACCAACCTCGAAGAAGAGTGGAGTCTCTTGGTGTATATTTTAAGATACTGTCGAAACTGAGGATAAATAGTATGTAACAGTTGAGAAGCATGATATGTGAAGGATCTTGAAGGGAGGAGTCATGAGCTGGTCAAGAAACTATCTCGTCACTTATCTGGAGGAGGCTAAAGAAAACAATGAAAAACCTTGGGGCTAAATTTCTAGTATCCTAGCTGAATTCTGAACATATAATATAACAAATACAATTCTACTGTGGTATCCTTACGGCAATTCAGTACTTAAGAAGTTCTGAAGCATTCCTCACATTAAAAGTGGAAAGCCCCTAACGTACTTAATGGGTGTACAAGAACCAACAGTATCAACAGCAGAATGTCAACAAAGAAACAAAGTTTATTTATTTTATGTGTCTTCCAGAGATCTACTATGTACATACATGTAGATACAGAATCCGTCAACACTTTATACTAGATAACAAAGTAATAACAACATATTTAATCATACAATATAAAGCCGATTGGATATCACAAAGTATAAAACATACATATGTGTCTATGATAGGCCACATAAAATGTATCACTCACTATGCAAGGTAACACCATAAGAAAATAATTCATCATACAATGTAAATCTGACTGTACATCCATTTCACAATAACAGTCCTTTATGTACAAAAAATAAAACCTGCACAAACATCTACAGCAGGCCACATATAATGCATCACTCTTATCATCATAATACATGGCTTAATTATAAAATCTTATTGTTTTAATCCTATTTCTAGTCATGTTTCAATTCAAAAAATTCCTCAATGATATAAAAGGAATTCTGTAATAAGAATGCTGTCAACTTAGATCTAAAACTCTTCATGTCATTTAACATAAGACTTAATTTCAGTTGGCAGATGGTTCAGGATCTTTATTCCCATAACATATTCAATTTTGGAAGAGTGTTCAGTTATTATGAAAAAGTTAAATAGTTCCATCCAGTGTGAATGTTTAAGTGTTTTTTTTTCTTATTTCAATTATGCCCTTACATGTTTCGGTCTTCAGAGGGACACCTTTACAGCAATACAGTTAGAAGCCATTATTACAGTACATGTTCTAAAAGTTAAAATATATACATACAATATAAATAATATACAATTGTGTGTAAAATCCAAAGTCTTTACAACTACAGCGGCTGTTCCAATACATTAAAATATTTATAGTTAGATTGATAAGATTCTATTGCTTTACGAATTCCAATAGAATCTTATCAAACTAACTATAATTACNTCTTATTTCAATTATTCATGCCCTTACATGTTTCGGTCTTCAGAGACCATCTTCAGAGGGATTTACAGCCAATTGTATATTATTTATATTGTATGTATATATTTTAACTTTTAGAACATGTACTGTAATAATGGCTTCTAACTGTATTGATGTAAAGGTGTCCCTCTGAAGACTGAAATGCAAGGGCATGGGGGGGGGGAACTTAACCACCCAGACTGGACGGAACTATTTAACTTTTTCATAATATTATTAGTGTGACGGACCAGAATGAAACAAATCAAATTCAGTGTTAAGTTAGTTTGGGGGTAGTACTGATCATAAATAGGTATGATATTATATTTATGTACTTGGGGGTTAAATTTAAATAATTCCCTATTTGTTATGATAAATACAGAGATTGATAAAATATACTGTGCTTGTAAGGGAAGGATACCCAATTCTCTAAATCTGCTGAGTTCGTCATAATTCTGATTATCCTTTTCTGTATCCTGAATATTTTTATGCTGTACAAGGAATTGCCCCAGAATATTATCCCACAATTTAATATGGAATGCACATACAAATAATATACTACTTTTAATGCCTCCACTGATAAAATGGATTTAACTGATCGGATTGCAAAACAAGATCTGTTTAACTTAACAACTAATGTATCAATATGATCTTTCCATGTTAAGAAATTATATAGTTTAGTCCCAAAAAACGACACATTTAAATTGCTTGAAACTGTAAGAAAACAGCTTTTTTTCATAATTTATTGTTGACTGATTTCTTGCAAACCCTTCATTAGTTATATCAAATAATTTATTTATTTATTTTGATTTTGAAGTCTGTAGGATCCTTGCCTGATATGATAATGCTAGTATCATCTGCAAACAAGATTGGTTTTGATAGGTCACATATAATTTTTGGCAAATCGTTAATGTATAATGAAAATAGTACTGGACCCAATAGGGAGCCCTAAGGCACACCATATTGTATTTGTTTCCATTCGGAACAGCACTTATTTCCATTGTTATATAAAATTACTCTCTGGTATCTTCCTCTTAAGTAAGATTTCATAAGTTTTTGTGCAATTCCTGTAATTCCATAAACCTCAATTTCTGACAGCAATATGTCATGTGATGAGATGTATGGAAGTATTTTACAACTTCAAAGATAATAACTGAATGACAGTTATGGAATAAATCTGACCAAGAAATCTAATCCAACCTGCACTTGCAAACTTTCTCTGTATCCTATCCTCTCTTCTAGTCTCCGGATTAAGGCTATTGTAAATGACTTAAGCAAAAGCCAATCTAGAATTTGCAGTTCTCACATCGGTGGTCAGAACAGTTCTACCAGTTGGGATACAATGCCGTGTAGTCCGCTGAATATTAGTAGACATCTCGTAGGAACATGTCGCCTCCATCTTCAAGGTCGATGTATATGCAAAACAAGAAACCAGCTTGAAGCATGCAGCATGATATGCCCCTGTTTCTTTCTTGGGTTATTCTTCTAGCCTGATGATGGAAGCGGTGTTCCTCGGAAAAGCAAAGGGCTACACGGAGTTATAACCCAGATTACAAAAGTCTTTGACCTACGTATACTTAAGCCTCGACCTAATTAAGGCAAAGTATAAAACTACTACACCACTAAAACGAAAAATGATATGCAGCAGCAACAATAATAGAAACCACACGATGGCTTGCTACTTACCGCCTTTCACTTCTTCCTTCCAAATTTTCTTACAACTTACTCACTCTTCGTACAACAACCGTCATTTACATGTAGATGTGGAATTCCACGCTCTTTGTTAGCAACGATGCACCGTGCTTACGACCATGCCATCTATCAATCGGCCACGCGAAAACATACTAGCAAAGATGATAGTAAAGCGACATTCCAGTCAGGATTTCACTTTCACACCCTTTCCTTTACCTAGTCCAACACCAAAACTTCATATTTATTTATATTTTACTTGTGTTGTAAGTAGCTCGGAAAATGTGGCCTCAAGTGATGGGGTGATTGGTGAAAATAATTTCAAATGGAAATGGAAGGAAGAGGTTCTGTCCCAGTTTTTGGCCATATCATGTACTTTCCAGGATGGGTTATCCCTACTTGCGCACTACATTAAGATGTATGGGCTAGTGGAGGTTTACATCCACCATTGTTCGCCTTGGCACTGGATGGTGGTGAACGATCTCTTTTCTGCCTCTGCCACTTTCACCCTGGGGGAATAACCCTCAGAGCCTATCTGAACAACAGAAGAGAAAAATCGTTTATCCCTAGCCAGAACCCAACACCGATTACTATGTTAATAGTTTACCCATTCCTACACTGACCGAGCTATCCCTGCACCATGATGCAAGTTGGGCATCTACTGTATACATCGGATTTTCTTTGTCCCTTGGACACTGACAAATGAATAATTAGAACCCTTGGTTTTTCAGTGAAAATTTCTGTAAAATGTGGTGGATGAATTGGTCTGAAGAAAGCAAGCTTCTTAATAACTTCACGAGTGCCTTAAGAGGTATGAACGTTACTTTTGTATGTATCAATCCAAAACCACCAGGAAAGGATGGAAGCCAAGGTGGATGTCTGGCTAGAAGAAATGATTACTTGGCAGAAAGAGACAAACGCCCTGGCAAGCAACAGTGGAGGCCAATGGAGAGAAGTTGGACACTGTGGCAGAGCATCAGGAACTCCCTAAAGAAGCCATGGGGGAAACTATCAAGAGGACTGGCCACCAAGAAGATATAACGGAAGGGGCTTGAATGCAACAATGGAACAAAGGACTGAGGCAAAATATAGCAGCTATGTCTGAAGAAGGGGAGGACACCTGACAGCATCTTTAGGAAGACCATAGGGCTACAATTTGAGCAATCCAGTCCCACTTCTGACATCGGCTGTCACGTGATGGAGTGACTACAGATGGGGCTCGCAATGGTAGTAGAATTTATTGGACTCTTCGATACAAAGCCTGACTACACATATATACTGTCACATACATATATAAGGGTTGTTCCGTGACTTATAAGACGAATTTTGGATTAGATTTATTAACACCATACACATTCACACAACTCAGGACTACAGGCAATACACACTTTTCCAGTTCACCATTACATATGAACTAAGGTTCTCTGTCTTCATTAGTCGTATCCTGGCAACGGATGCATCACAGCCTCACGGCAACTTCAAATCACACATGAAGTCTTCTCTCTACAGCCTCACTTTCTTACCATTATTCTGCAGCTGCCATTTTCGAAGACTCATCCCAATTCAATTCCAAGCTCATATACCAGCAAGCTGGCATCCAAAAACTTGACTCTTCATTCTCAACTACTCCTTCACACCTCCCCCTTTTTTTTTTCCTGTGGCGCTACAGCCCCAATTTGGGCCTAGGCCTACCTCCATGAAACTCTCCGTTTCACTTCGGTTTACTAGATCTTACACATACGGTAGGACTCCTTGGGCAGGTGATCAGCTCATCGCAAGGCCTCTACCTGTAGACAAACACAGAAAAACGCACACAAACATCCATGCCCTGAGTGGGATTCGAACCCACGATCCCGGCTTTCAAGCGAGCGAAGACAGTGCATGCCTTAGACCGCTCGGCTACCGTGACCGGCTTCACACCTCTCCTACTGCTTCTAAACACTTCCTTATAACCAATTTGCACAGACCCCATGGCAAATGCAGCCTCTATTCTTAAGGAGGTGTGTTTACTGATTCGTTGTACAGCAACAAACATCTTATTTTGCGTGCACTGGCTCACACGAAAATGTTTTTACCAAGTTCTTGCCTAGCAATGGGTATACATGTCACCATATACATATAAAATTGTCATTTTTAATGCATGATCTGGCAAAGGTATGGGAACATCTTGGAGAAAACAACCTCTAAATGCTGACGTGTGTGGAAGCAACTTACACAGAAGGACCTGCAAATTTCTTCATATCTAATTCTGTGCACAAGAAAGTCTTCTGATTGAAGATATGGGTTTAGCTACTGCCACCATATAATGAACTGAACAGAGCTAAACAATCTCAGACATACACAGATGTGCCTTAGGTTCTACAATTTCACCCAAATCATGAGTCAACTGACATGCTACCACCTTTCAAACACAAACTACTACTACTCCAAACTCTTACCTGGAACACAGAAGGTACATTGTGGGCAACAAATGAAGGGATAAATTACTTACCATGAATACACAAGGAAAGTGCAAGTGCAATTCAAGGAGTACAAGACAAAGAAGCTGAAAGATAAGTCAGTTGGACAGTGCTACCATGAGTTTTCTCCATGCTCCTTGAACATTAAGAATCAGTTGTGAGGAACTATTGGCATAAGCCAACAAGTTCCTTTGACACATTTTATTATATATTTTGATTACATTATCCTCTATCAGGAAAAGTCTACCCACATACAATTCTTTAGTGTTTATTATATATTCTTTCTACAGTTAAGTACAAAAAATTATAGCTGCATTATCTTCATCATAATCCAGGGCTTCACGAAGTCTTAACCTGATACAGATTTATGCACGTGGGACCTGTTCTTATATAGTGTCTAACAAGTTCTGGGCCATAGAAGATTTTGGTCGTTTCGGAATATTGTGGAGGAAAAGTAATCACTTGGTACCTGTGGTGTACTGCGACTCACCATAAAACACTGCTGCATTCCAGAACAATACCTGTATGTGTGTGAGCAACCATTATCCCAGCAATATTGTAACGTGTGTTCTAGCATTCAGCACTGCATTCACTTGTGAGCAATAGGCACACCAAATCTAACACTTACTGCAGTAACCGTATAAACAGTTTCAGTGATCTATATGCAAGTGCAGATCTGTGGACTTGCAACATTTTGTCAGTCTTCTACACTCCAACACTGTTCCATAAGAGTACATTAAAACACAATGATTTCATTCACTATTCCTGTTTGGAGTACCTGTCTCTATTACTGCTTCCCCCTGCCATGGAAATGTATCACTGTTTCACCATCATGTCACAAAGACAGTACTGCCATAACTTTTTGCTAATGATATCTAAAGAATTTAGCATTAAAATGGAGTGTCTAGGTAATATAGCAAACAACTTTTCCCTTTATAATTTCTTGTCGGGACATTGCTATTTAACAGGAGGGCCTGCATGAGCTGGATATATTACGTGCATGGGACAGACATCGATTATTTATAAACTGTAGTCAGAATACCTTGTGGAAAGAGATCACTTAGGGAAATTAGTTTATAATTGGAAGCAGATTTCCAATGGCACTTAACTCCGTCAAGACAAGAATCGATGAATGTTGTCTGCACTTCATGGAGAATCTTACATAATATCATGTGTAAGAGCAACTACAGATGGGGTTTGGATTGGTAATTGAATGTAATGAACTCTTATAGATCCGTCACTACAAGTAATCATAACCATTTCACCTATTCAAACACTTTACAGTTCACTAGAAAACACACTTAAGTCTTCTTAGCCTGCTGTGTCTTAAGGTGCGGCCACACAGAGCACTATGCTATGTTCGCTACACCACGTGGTCACTCAGAAACCTATGTTTGGTACGAAACTGCTCAGTCTTGAATGAGATGTTGGCCGATAGTGTGCCGTGGGGGGCAGCGATGATTCCGACGATGAGCTTTTGCTGTTACTTTCCTTGTGTAAACGTAAAAGGAAGTGGGTGCATGGCGTGAACTTAATAACAAAGTTTGGTGAATTTCATCATCTGATTAAGCAGTTACATGAAGATGAAGTTAAATTTAAAGAATATTTCCAAATGAATACGAATCAATTTAATAATCTTTTATCGCTTATCAAGGATGAAATCGAAAAGAAGAAACTTAACCACAGAGAAACTATTTCAGCAGAGGAATGACTGGCTGTTTGTTTGAGGTGAGTGACCATGTGTTTTAGTAATTAGTTTATTTGTATTTTTTTTATTTCTGACCTTTAACAAAGACTATATGCTACATATAGGTCACAGAAGGTGTACTAGTTGACATCATCATTAAAAATGAACTGTCATTGCTTCCTGCATTTCCATTTGAAAGATTTGAAGTGTTTTCTTGCACCTGATTATTGTAGCCCGTTGTCGCAACATGGGCTTCAGATAAAGACTGACTAGCAGCAGGAGAAGGTTGTGCTTGATGGCAGAATTCGGTTGAAAAAGTGGATGACTCAGTGCCCAAGCACTCCATTTCTGCATTTAAAATTGCCTTTATAACATCTTGCTTTACCCTTAGTTGAAAACGAGGAAGGCGCTTGGTGCTTTCGCACACACTGGCAAAGAAATACTTAAGCTCACCTGGTTGTTTTCTATCCCTTTCCTTCTCCTGCAAGAATGTGATTACTTTGTCAACATTGCATTCCTTGTCAAACCTTTTCCCAAACTTCCTGCAGTTTTTACTCCCGCTCTCTCTTCTGTTTTGAAAGGCTGATTCTGTTTGTTCTTCTTCTTTCTCATCCAACATGAGTCCCACGCCATCCTCACACTCCTCAGTTTCCTCAACTACGTCGATATTGGATTCAGTTCTTCAGAAGAAGAAAACAAAACATATGCATATATAAGAATCTTAATATCTCAAGCAGCATATCGAAGTACGAATAACATCAGAAATTGCACTTACTGCCGTGGAGTTAGGTCAGACAGTAGGAAAGACATTAGCGCCTTGTATTTCCACGGTTCCATTTTCCTAGCACGCTGACCATTTTTCGTCTTTCTTCTTAGCACAGCTTGTCTGTGGCTGTCCTGCAGTTTCTTCCAATCTACTTACAAATCCTCCACTGCAGACACACATCATAATAAATTATAATGCATATAATAGTGTACTTGGTATTAGTAAAATGCAACTAATAATCATATTTTTTCTTCATTGCAGGTGCCTAGCAACTGGGAATTCATTCCGATCCATGGCTTTCACCTATCGCATGGGTAGGTCTACAGTCAGTGGCATTGTTGAAAATGCCTGTGAAGCTATTTGGAAAATTGTGCAACCTATAGTCATGCCTGAGCCCAATGAAGAGATTTCAAAGAAAAGTGGAACTTTCCTCACTGTGCTGCAGTGATCAATGGCAAACATGTTCATATTAAAGCCCCTTCATTACAAGGCTCAGAATTCTTCAACTACAAAAGATATCATTCTGTTGTATTGCTGGCATTAGTTGATGCTAATAAAGGATTCCTCTGTGTAGATGTAGGGCAATATGGGAGAGTTAGTGACGGAAATGTGTTTACCAACAGTAATATAGGTAAGCGCTTAGCAAGTCAAAAAACTGAATTGCCTCCAGATGAAAATTTAGGGGGCATTCCTTTACCATACATTATAGCTGGTGATGAAGCTTTTCCTCTTAAAACGTACCTCATGAGACCTTATCCCAAAACTGGTCAAAGTCTCAGTGAGGCAGAGAAGACTTTCAATTATAATTGAATTATAAATAATTATAATTATCGGCTTTCAAGAAGCAGAAACACTGTTGAAAATGCTCTTGGGATCCTTGTTAATACTTGGAGGATATATCGTTGGTCTTTCAAATGCCATGTTGAGCTTGCCGACAAGGCAATCCAAGCTACCGTTGTCTTGCACAATTATATATGGCTAGAATCAACCCGGGCCAGCATTACTCCTGATGGAGAAGAACACACTCAGGCAAACAATTTCGTTCAATTGGGTGCTGCTACTGCAACAAACTCAACGAGAGAGGCACTACAAGCTCGAAATTCATTCATGTCTCATGACGGTCGAGTTGAGTGGCAACAGGGAATAGTAAATCGTGTGGCTTACTAGACTGAATGGAGAAATGGGTACTAGATAGCATCCGAGTATGGCCAAAATATGGAAACTGTGATTTTAAACAATTAAAACTGTCCCTGGCCTCAGCTACCAGCTTCTAACAGGAACAACTCACTATGACTGAGCCTCAGCAGTCCTCTAGTTCATTCACTCACCAACCAACTCACTCCACTCCACTAACTGTCCTGTGTACAACATCTCGGCACAGACCACACAGACGACACCGTTCCTCTGTTGCTGTTGCCCAGTAACGACCATTGTCTAGTTTTTGCCTCGCGGTCATTGTCTAGCAATGGGTCTACAAGCCACAATGTTTACATTTAATACTCTTACTACAATACACAGATGAAAACTATACATGAGAACAAAACGTTTAGGTACCATAGAACTGCCTCAAGACATGTCCACCCAGATGAACATTATACCTCAATATCATGAAGAACTTTGCATGCTAGGTCATCAGAAACGGTCCCACAAATTCCTGTCTGTTTGCAATTTGGCCATCCTGAATCATCATTCCCTTGGAGTATAATAACATTCTTTCCATGGAATAGGAACACACTGCACTGCATATGCAACAATGTTTGCAGACAATGGAAAAATCTATAAAGCTTATTCTGGGTGTAATGCCGTGGTGCAGGGGGCGTGGAGGTAGCCTCCTCTGCCACCACTGTTACGCCGCAAGTAGGGGGCCGTGGAGGTATCCTTCCTTGCCTCCACCGTCACTTGCTCTGTAAGGAGTTAACACCATCCTCCTAGCTCACCCTTAGCTAGGATTCTCCTATTTCGGGGTTTCCTTCTCGGTAAAAGCTGCCACCATCTATTATCTGTCCTTTCGATTGTGGGCACCACTCCCTGGCATATAGTCATAGCTCCTTGACCACTCCTCCCGTAGTTTACAGGTAGCGACTTAATACTTTATTAATACACTTTATCATTATATCTTAAGGGGCGTTGGTATCTAGGCTACTTAACTCTGCTTGTGTGGCAGGTACCTATCCCTGTTTGTCTTTCTTTGTCTTCGGCTGCCACTGCTCCTGTGTCAGTTCAACCTTCTCTTGGTCAGGATTATCGGGAACTGTCGTGGGAAAGTTGATTATAGATATGAATCACAACCCCGGTACATCCTATCCTATCTATCTACTCCATCTATTTACACTTTTGTATTTACATAATTTACAAATTTACATTGTTAACCAGGCCGACTCTCAGTCGGGTCTACATATGGAATTGACTAGCCTCTACGCTAGAACCTCCCCTTCGGGGATGGAGGCCTNAGACTTACTTGACATAGAAGACTGTAGGCCCTTCCAGCACTTGTCAAACCCATGTTGAAGAGAGCCTTCGGCTGACAACTGAATATTCTGTGATAGAACATGTCAAATCCCCCGAAATTCCCTAATTTATGGTTTTATTTCGCTGATTCAGCGTTGACGACAGAGGGTAGGTGACTCCCCCTCAGTGTCCTCAATCCTCATAATCACCTCCTCATTGGCTCTCATGGGTGGTTGTGGGCGGACCCCTTGCGTCTTATTGCTGTGTATGCGGTCTCTCACGATTAATCCAGTGACCGAGTGAGGCAAGCTCTTGCTCTGTGATTACACAGACCTGCTGAGCCTCCACATTCTTAACCTAATTGCCAGTCCTGGTGTTTACAATGTACTGTAATGACTGCGAAACGCTTTTCGCAAGTCTCTAACTTTTGGGTAATACCATACCCTCTCCAGTCTCAAATTTGGGCCATAACACTGGGAATAAGGAAATTCTGTTCTGCTTACGCATTGGTATCTTCTGATTCAAGTCTTGGAACTAAAATTTTTTACAGACAACATGAAAACTGCCTGCTCCCAGTGTTCTCAGTGCGCTGAGATGTCCTCACTGAAGGCTACTAATCAAATAACTGGAAAAAATCACAGGAAAACATCCATCCCCGGCAGCGTGTGATAACAATGCAGTTCCCCTTAATTGTCACAACGTCACATCTTACTTTCATCCTATTTTCTGCATTCTAATTCCTAATCATTTCTTCCCAGCTTTTGGTATTGGTTATTCTGCCATACACAGTTGAAGAATGATAATGTTACATGTGAATTATTTTACGTTGTGTCCTCCTTCATCTTCATGATTGTGCTTGGTGCATAATTCTTTGCACAGATCAGAGGGAAGTGGCTGTGATTCACTGCATACACGTAGATGATTCTTCAGAACACTCTTATACGTAAATGTCTTATTACATGTAGAACAGGAAAATGGTCGCTCCTCATTATGCACTCGCTGATGTTCCTTCAGACGTCCACGCACACCAAATGATTTATTACACACACGGCATGAAAATGGCCTCTCCCCACTATGTACATGCTGATGTGCCTTCAAATAACTTCGCCTACTAAATGACTTGTTACACATATCACAGGAATATGGTCGCTCTCCACTATGTATGCGTCCATGTATCTTTAGCTCACTCTTAGATGTGTATGACTTACTACACAGAGGACAGGAAAACAGCCGCTGCCCACTATGCATGCGTTCATGTACCTTGAGATGACTGTTACATGTATATGACTTATTGCACACAGCACAAGAAAATGGCCTGTCCCCATTATGCATGCGTTGGTGAATCTTGAAATAACTTTGTGAACTAAACGACCTATTACACACAACACAGGAATATGGCCGTTCACCACTATGTACACGTTGATGTCCCTTCAGATGATTGTGCTGACTAAATGACTTATTACACACATGACAAGAAAATGGCCGCTCCCCACTATGTATGCGCTGATGTTCCTTCAAATGACCATGCCTACTGAATGATTTATTGCATACCTCACAGAAAAATGACCGGCCTGTAGCATGTGTATGTTGATGTCTCTTCAGACTACTGCTACGGGTGAACGTTTTATTACACACATCACAGGAAAATGGCCGCTCACCACTATGTATACTTTGATGCACCTTTAAATAATTCTGCCTACTAAATGACCTATTACACATATCACAGGAATATAGTTCCTCCCCCTTATGTATACAATGATGTCTCTTCAGATGATTCTGCTGACTAAATGACTTATTACACACATGACAGGAATATGGCCGCTCCCCACTATGTATGCGCTGATGTTCCTTCAAATGACCATACCTTCTGAATGTTTTATTGCATACATCACAGAAAAGTGACCGGCCTGCAGCATGCATTCGCTGATGTCGCTTCAGACCATGGCTACGGGTGAACGATTTATAACACACATCACAGGAAAATGGAAATTCACTGTGTATGACTTGAACCTTATTCACAACACCCTGAAAAAAAAGACAAATATTAAAACAAATTTATACAGGAGGAGGAATGAGTCTGAAAGTAGGTTGCAATTAAGATCAACACAGTACTACATGAATCATGTTCTTTAACAAATGATTGGCCAGGTGTGTTTACTGGTTACATTCTAGACTGGTGTTCTGGAGGTGCTCAGTTTGAACCTTGGCTGAGACACTTTCTATAGTTAGAGGTGTCAACGGTTTTCCTCGGCCCTTCGAGCCAAATACTAGGATAGTGCATTGATTAAGCCAGAATTGCTTCCATACATATCATTTACAATTCTTCATTCCTTAGTGGCAGGGTGTGGACTGAACTTCCTACTTGTTTCACTAAGGACATGGACCACTGAGAGGCTCCTGTAAGCAAGTTAACAAACCTTTATTTTCCATATGAAGCAAAAAGTTTGTTCATCCCATGCACAGGTACTAGCTTCTTAAAGTAAATTTGAATAGACCCAAAATGTTTTCCACACCACTGGTAAATGTCAAAGGCACATACTGGTCTGCAAGTTGCACGTGGTTTCCAAGTACTGTTTATTTACATCTGCATAAGGAAATTGTGCAGGCAACAAGCAGAGGTCATATAAAATCATGAAAATCCATATGTTTGCAATCCTGAAAAGGTGAAGCCTGACAAAGAAAAATAAGAGGCTCAAACTTGGCAGTGGTCAAGCCTATGACTGGTCAAGTGATTGGGCAGCCCTTCTAATATGAGCTACCTGAGTTTGTGTTCCTTCTGCTGTGCTAAGCCTAAACTGACAAGAGTCCCGGTGTATGTTGTGCGTACATGTACACTTAAATTACATGCAAAACTGTAAATATGTTGCATTCACAAGGAACCAGACTGTACATGACTGATTATGTAGAATCCCTTCATGTACGAGTAAAACTACAAATATGGCCGACATGTATTACTGGCTATGACCACGGTAACAGACAGACCTGTTCTCTCGTCAAAGAGGGCTAACCCACATTGACAAATCTGCAGCCATATGACAGCACAAAAAAAATCTGGTCTTTGGCCTGAAATGGGGCTTGATACCAAGACTTGACTGGCTGACTGACTGTCAGCTACAATGTGACTTTGAGTTAGTCAAGGATAAGAGACCATAATATGCAGTTAGTTAGTTAGTTAGTTATTGGAGAGGGTGGGTTTCCCCATGCACTTAGACCAGTATTGGTCCATTGTGCTTCCCTCTATGATATTCTACCAGTCTCTATACCCTACTGATAAATGGTGCGTACCATCAGTCCCGCCGAGCAAGCGAGTTCGGCCACTTGCTTAGCGGTGTCTATAATGCTTCCCCCATCTATCAGAGGCCTTAGACACTACTGTTGGGCGGGAAACGTCCTGGAATTTGGCTCAGTGATCTCCTTTGGAGATGAGGTTCTTTTACGTGCCGTAAAGTTACGACACGGGACACACTGCTTAAAGTCCCTCCCAGAGGACTTGTTCCCTGAATTTTTCCAACCTTAAAAATTCAACGACCTCCGCCAGGTATTTGAACCCGCGTACCATGAGTCAAGAGGTGGGAATGTTACCTCTACACTACGGAGGCTGCTATAATAATATGCAGTTAAGCGAGTGAGCTGCAAGCCAGCTGCAATTCAATGAGGACACAAACAAGTGAGCTGATGAACACCCGTAGTTAGCAGCCGTAACCAAGCAACGACTAGCAAAGACATAACAGACTGAGACATAGCACGTGCAGAATTTATCTGTTTCATGATAGCACTAAACTATTTACAGCTATGACTTATAAGTGTTCAATAAATCCAATTATCAATCCAAACTCCAAGTCCAGTCACTAACACATGAAAATATCTTTGTTCCATCTGATGATCAAGAGGAGTGGGAATTGCTGACATAAACCAATGGCCAGTGAGGAAATGGTTCTCCTAATATCTGCTAGGGGTTAGCTATAAGCTATATGAACTGTAAGTCCACTAGGATTCAGTGGTGGGGCCTCCACCATCCCTGTTAGTAAACAAAACAGGCACCTGCAGATGCCCTGCTATCTGTAGGGGAAGAGATGAGGCAACTCACCTCATGTTTGGCCTCTATTCCTGGAAATGATATTGGCACTGGATCTTCCTCTTCCTCTTTAACATCTGACACCTCATCTTTTATACTGATGGCCTGGAATGCATCATGAGAAGATGCAGGACATGTCTCAGTACATGAACCTGGGACATCTTCCTCTGAATATGCACAGTCCTGCAAAACCAGCAAACCCGTATCAGTCAGGGCGGTGCGCTCTCACTACACACAATAGCATCCACTTTCATTACTATGGTCACTGTGCAGTGCATCACTCTCATGATGGCTGCTCTGTACAGATTTTCTTCATTGTAACTACCAGAAATCTTATTAGTTCGCAACTCCATGGTGCACCCTTTGTCTGGAACACATACATGTAGTGGTCACTCAGAAAATGTAGAAATCGCCTACCTTTCATGGACACATGGAAAGTAGCCCATCACTGGTTCCTCTCCTGAGCCACAGCCTCAAGATCTGCTCTTAATACTGCCCTTCTATCTATGTATAGGTCTCCCAATTGGCCCTTCCATTCAGGATTGCCAACCAAAACTTTCTACGGGCACATCATCTCTCACATGAATGCTAAATACTCTAACAATCTCATTTTTTTTTATTTAAACATTCTAATATCTGTTAAGTTGTTCAAATGGTACTAAGTAACAAACTAATTCCACGGAGCTGAGAAGCCCCAGTTGTGTAGCTACTCAAAAGTTTCCCAAAATTTAATGGAACCCAAAGGTTCATTATTTTGTTTGCAAGAGCCCTCCACTGATCGCTAATTTAAGGCACATCTACTCAGTCTATATTACCCCATTCTGTTTCTCTGAGATGTTCATGTGGCACAGCTTCTCATTATGCAGTGCTCTCCAGCCCCAGTCATATTTTTTTCTTAGGTCTAAATGTTTTCCTCAGTATCCTGTTCTACACCACCGCAATGTATATTCTTTCTTCCATTCCCAAATTTAATCTTCCCTACACAATGAAACCTCCCTTTTACACGTTTTATGGGACCACCTACAATAAATGTAAACTCAAGGAAAGTATAAAATTAGGGAAATGAGAACGACATAATGTAAAGAAAATTTGGGTTTCATTATATCATATTTCAGAAGATCATTTAAAAATACATGTTTGAACACGAAACTATGTGTATGTAGAAGCAAATATGGTTCTCGGTTTATTTTGTTGATGCTCTTATCAACTCCTGTCTTTACGTGGAATCTGTAAGATAAGGTGATTATAACAGATCGATGGAAAAATTGAGGAAGTAGTCTGGGTCCACTTCAAGGTACTATTCCAGCATTCATCTGGATAGACTGGCAAATGTGGTACATATCTAGTTAGAATATTTTGTTAACCATTTATTAGGAGTCTTCTGTAGTTTTCCTTTCCTTGAGCTCTCAGTCTGTATAATTACTTTTCAACTTTATTACACATTACAATATTATTGTTCTCTGTATCAAAGTGACACATGTACTTCCTTGCTGCTTCCAGTCCTTTCAGTGAATTCAAGAATGTTCCTCTATGTTCTGCAACTTCATCTTTCATTCTGGTTTTTCTTTTGCATAGTCCAATGGGCAACACTCAGATTCCACAAACTTCAAGAGCACTGTCACATGTTGTGCAGTCCACAAACTGCACTCCAAGAGGTTGTAAACTCTTAACAGTTACATCATCTTCACTGAGTTTCACTGCACTGTCATCATTGCTGCTGACATTAACATTTGAGAAGCCATTCAAAGAGGAATTCTTGTTTGTAGTGGATGTTATCAGACTCTGGGCTCCTGCTATGAAGTGCACTGCAGACAACACATACAGCTTCATCTGTGCACCTGCCCCCACCTATCATGGCTGCAGCCTTCCAAATCAACTTCTTTCTATAATGGCACTTGAAAGAACGTATGATTCTCAAATCTAAAGGCGGAAGCTGGGTGGTATAGTTAGGTGGGAGAAACGTAACTCTGATGCTGCTGAGAAATGCGTTCCTTGGATGGGCGGCACGCTGCTCAATGGAAAACTAGAATCTGAGAGGCAAAATAACCTTAAAATAGTTCTGTGGTCATACAAGATTTGTATTAGCTTCATATTCTGTAGACAGTCTCTTTGACATTCGTGAAGCAACATGGACTTTTATATTTTTCAATTACAAGAGTTGTCAGTTTATCACTACCATCAGCACTGCATGTGAGGAGTACAGTAATCCATTATTTTGATTTTATATTGTCACATGTACTGTGTGTGACTATAGATGGAGTTTGGATTACTGGCTTGATATATTTAACACTTACAGCATAGTAGGCCTTTTCCAGCCTGTTGTGTATTCACTAGACCTTCCCTGGCAACGGCTTCCAACAGTGGACATTCTTCAGCTTCCTGCGCTCAGGTACTTCCTTCACAGCCTCCCATACAGACTGCTGACTCAGAGTTGGAGTCTTTACTTTACAACTAGCAGTTATCTGCCAATTACTTCATCTTGGTGCCAAGCCCCTTAAGACCCATGACCAGCATTTTTTTTCAACTGAACACTTGCAGTTATAGTCCTTACACAACATCGTCTCCAACAAGAGGATAGGTCTTATTTAATATTGCTCCTGGCCTTCTCCAGTACAGTCACTCTCAGGTCCAAGTCCCATGGGACTCATGACCATATTTTACTGTTGTGTCTCCCCTTAAATCTGTCAGTCCTTCTACGGGAAACTGAGAAGTTGGCTATTTCCTGATGAGCATCTATTTGAAACATTACTGTTATGAGCTTGCTTGAATCATGCAGAAAGTGCAATTCCAGTTTCTTCATTGGTGACGGTTTCAGTGATTTCTGCTGCTTTGAGAATGGTCCATGCTGGACATACCTTCTTTCAGTTTCTTCACAGTTCTTCCCATCAGAGTTTCGCTGTGACACTGAAAGTCTCAAGCTTTATGCCAGTTCAACATATGTGCCAATATATGCATCGACTTGCACTAAAATATCTATTTCATCTCTCATTGTAAAAGGTTCCTATTTTCCTTTACTATCCATATTTACATACATACATACATACATACATAATTCATAAATTCACTGATCCATTGTCCGAACTCAACCAGATATTGAACTCGTCAAAATAAGACTTGATTGCAGAAGTACAATCGTGTCAACAGCAAACAACTATACACAACAAAAACACAAAATAAACATAATTTACATTGTCATTCATAAACAAAATTGCAAGGAATATAGTTATTAAATGTTATACATGCTTAGCAGAAATATATTCATCTATTGAATAAAAAGCATTTGTTGTGAGGAAACTTTTCAGTGTGCATTTAAAAATCTTCACATTATCACTCATCCTTTGTGTATTTTGAGCAAGATTATTATAAACCATAATGGATGATTATAACACGCCTTTCTGGATTGACGTTAATCTCACTGATGACACATGTAGCTTTCCAAACTGTCTAGTGTTTATATGATGAATATTATTGTTGGTTTGAAAAAATTGCGATTTCTAACAACAATATAGAATATAGAGGCTAGGAACCGTCAAAATACCCAACCTTTTAAAACCTTCTCTACAAGAGTTTCCAGGACTCAATCTCAGCATAACCCTAATGACTCTTTTTTGGGCAACAAATGAACTTTCCATAACTGGAGAAGAACTCCAGAATATAATACTATATTCAAGCTGAGACTGATAATAAGAAAAATAGACCATTCAAAGAGCTTGTTCACTAACAAGGTACTGTAACTTCCTGATCATAAAACCCGCTGTCTTCAGCTTCTTTAATAATTTTTCAGATTGTTTTTTCCAATTAAGTTGACAATACATATCTCATCCTCTTTGTGTGTGAAATTTGTCTTAACAATAAGCTTTGGTGTCTAAGAATGGAATTCACGTGGGCAATTTAAAACTAAAGAGTTTAGGTATTTGCATTCCTGTTGACTGTTTCATTTATGAAAACACGCTTGTGACAAGATTAAAACTGGCCTAACATGTGAGGTGCTACAGTGGTGGATATGTCCACTCCTGCACAAGCTTTAGGAAAGTCACATGGTGCACAAGAATTGTTTGCAGCTGTGCATCAGCCAATTGGTAGAATGTATTTTCAGACTGAACCACTTGCAACAGCTAGCAACGTAGGAAGTCTGTTGCCTCAAACACGAATTTTTGAGAACTAAATTACAAAATGTAAAATACTGTAAATTTTCATAGCCAGAACTGAAAAAATTAGGTACAAATTTTCGGAAAATATAAATTGAGGAAACATAAAATCAATTAAAGTTTAATGTTATCATTATGGGAATTTAGCTGGAACCATGGAAAAAGTACATAAAATAAAAAAATAAATAAATAAATAAAGAAAAGTGAAATTCAAACTCATAAAATCAAAATTTCCCTGTATTTCCTCTTGAATACAACTTATTTCATTTTACTCAGTTTTTTTTTCATGTCTATTACCTTTACACAGAACGGCAGCAGTACACCACAATCAATCCTCTTGAGACATTTCCAGAATTCACCTCTTCACCAGACTGGAAAAGTTTTGTGTGAATTTTGCAGATGAGAGAGAGAACAGGCAATTCTGGATATGACTCAGATATGCCTCACAGAGACACGGAGGGGACATACAACTCACCTCATGTTCAGCCTTTATTCCTACAACTGTCATTGGCACAGTATCCTCATTATCTTCATTATCTGATGATTCAACTTTTATGTTGATAGCTTGAGCACCACTATGAGAAGATGATGCAAGTCCCTCACTATGCGAGCCTGGTACATCTTCCTGTGAATCCAAGCAGTTCTGTAAAACTGCTATACCCTTATGAGTCACTGCTATGTTATTACACAGAAAAGGATATGCTTTCATTTCATCACCATCCTGCACTTCCTCCAATGGCTACATTATAATCATTTTCTTCTTTGCTGCCTTCATGGAACCAGATGTCTCATTACCATGTTTGCTACAGCTTCTATCTACTGCCTGGTCTGGGTCAAATAATTCCAGTCTGCACACTCCCAAATTATTTCTTTAGATTCCATTTTAATAGTAATGTCCATGCAGACATCTCCCATTTGGCATCTTCTGTTCTAGATTTCTGTGCTAATGTTTGTATGAATGTCTTGTCCCTCACATACATGCTGTATGACCTGCCCCTCACACCTTATATGAATTCACTAAGCCCTCATAAAATGTACAAGCATTCTTACAAAATAAAGAAACAGAAACGACTTTTAATATAAGCTCATAACAAAGTATTCAGTTCACTGACCATGTAAATTTATGCAACAAGAACGTAAAATTATTTTATAGGGAAACAAGCATAGAAGACTCACCATGATTTGTTTTACAGCAGGAAATATTTCCTCAGCTCTCTGTACTACAATTTTTGTCACTTTTGTTGCAAGAGAAAGCAGATATTTTGTAGGCCTTAAACTTGATCTTCACACATAATGGACTGTGGGTTTGTGTCACAAAGTGACTTACCATTGGGAATAAACATGTACTTCAAATTAATGTTATACATGGATGAAACAAGTGTACTAATATTTGACAATAACATGTACAAAACTCAAAACTTAGCATTGTTTTCAATACCTTAAATTAATGGTTTACCAGTAATGTTGTGTCCCTAAACTTGAAGTAAACTAAACTCTATAATTTTGAAATCGCTTATCAAAAAACACCATTGCAATTAAGCTACAAAGATGAACTCTTGCAAGATTAAACAAATATTAGATTTCAGGGGCTAGAAATGGGTAAGTTTATGAATTGGAAAACACATTTTAAAGTAATGTTACACAAACTAGGCAACACATGCTTTGCAATAGGGAAAGTGAAGTACTGTAGTATTAATGAAACACTTCGGACGATATATCATGCATATTTCCAGTCAATTGTGAAGTATCATGTAATTTTATTGGGTAACTCGTCAGATGCTAAAAAAAGTTGTCCTTTTACAAAAAAGGACTATAAGCACAATGATGGGAATACAGCACAGAGACACACGCAGGCCAACATTTAAAACATTAAATATACTAACACTGGCCTGCCAATATATACCATTTTGACGTTTTTTATGATAAACAATTTGGAGCATTTTTCCTTTAATTGTGCAATTCATAATAAGTTAACATAGCACAGAGGTAAGCTTCATGTATTACAATCATATCTATCGTTAAGACAAAAAGTGGTTCACTACATGAGGGGAAACATTTTTTTAACAATATGTCAAAGTGTTTAGTTGACTCAGGAGGACATGAAAACCAGTTCACAGTAAAGTTAAAAGAAATCTTAATATATAATTAGTTTTATTCAGTTGATGAACTTTCAATCATTGTCAAGATTTAAAGCTAAGAGACATGGGGAATAGGCTTAGGCAATACATTACTTACACCTGCTGAGCAGAATTCTCATAACATGACCCTATGACAACTATATGTTACTCCATAGGCGTGTGTGTGTGTGTGTGTGTATGTATATATATGACATAAGTTGTTATGCAGTTTTCTTCATGTCTTCATATCTATTATTATACTATTTACTAATTATAAATCACTCCCATTACTATACTCCTCATGTCTGTATGCCTATCACTTGAAACGAAACCTGTACATTTTCACTATATCTTACCTTGTTGTCTTTCTGTTTTCATATGGTAAACTATGTGTTTTGACATGTTTTATATTCACTGCTAACATGCACATTTATGAATCCTATGAAGGTCATGGGTTAAAGCCCCAATGAGGTCACTGGATTTTTTTCAACTGACCTAATCCTTCCAGCAGCACTATGGCCCTGGGGTTGACTCAGCCTCTAACAGAAATGAGTACCAGGAATTAAACAAATAATTTTCCTGGGGAGTAAAGCGCGGCCAGTGCATAAGGCTGACAACCTTACCGCCATCTGTGAGCCGACTGTCTAGATAATGTGGGAGCCTCAAGGTCTCAAAACCCTATGGGCCTTCATGGCCTGGTACAGAGATAGCTTTACTTTTTACTATGAAATGCAACTGAATTGCATTGCTTTGTTATGCATGCATATGTGGAGGCAACACGCATTGAATCAAGTGCCAACCAATCAGTGCAGATCATGGCAGTTCAAACGCCCACTGGTTCACGCACTGCTTAGTGACAACGTACCTCTGACATGTTAGTCGTCAATCACAGTCTTGAAACCATCCGCTGCTAAGCAACAGCTCACCATACATGTTTCTGCAGAGATACGATTTTTTGGAAACAAACCATCGCTGAGTGATAAACGTTTCCTTGGACATATGACTGAAATACATTTTCTCTGGTGGTCCGATCTGACATTATATAACAGGAACCAAGATCCATTCAGAGGTCAAAATGAAAAATGAAGCTCATCCATGTATATATTCTAGCAACAATAAATATTTGTTACAGAACTTTATTATGTGGTTGTCTCTTCAAGCATCGACAAACACACGCGTGCATGTATGTATGTATGTATGTATGTATGTATGTATGTATATATCTACTTACAAGAATCACTGTGATATAGTCTGTTTCATGTACATGGCATTCTCACAGAATGGGGGGGGGGCATACAACTCACCTCATGTTCAGCCTTTATTCCTACAACTGTCATTGGCACAGGCTTCTCCCCATCTTCTATATCCGAGAATTCTTCAACTTTTATGTTGACAGCCTGATCACCATCATGTGACCATGAAGGACAAGCCTCACTGTGTGAACTTGGTTCGTCTTTCTGTGAATACAAGTAGTTCTGTTAAACCACAATACCCTTATCAGTCATGGCTATAACGTCATTACACAGAACAGGGTACACTTGCATTGCATCACCCTTATGCACTGCATCAAACTGATAACCACTATTTTCCATTGTTTCTCTTCTGTGCAACTACCAAAACCATTACTAACCACTAACAGCAAACAGGAGAGTCCCTGTTTGTGCCAGCCCTTCCTGGAACCCACGTCTCATTACAATATTTCTTACAGCTTGTCTCTGGTCCCTATTCTGAGCCAAAGAAATTCAGTACACACCCTTGTACATTATTTCTCTAACATCTGTTTCAATATTATCCTATCTTCCATGCATATAACTCCCACCTGAAATCTTCTCTTGTGGATTTCTCTCAAAATACCTGTATGAACGTCGTCCTCACTTACATGCGGTATGCCCTGCCCCTCACATCTTCCTTGAATTAATCATGCTAATAATACAGAAGACATTAATTAGGCCCCCACAATGTGCACACCCATTTATACATAACTGAGAAAATAGAAATGACTTCTAATAGCTTGTAATAAAGTATTCGGGTCACTGGCCATGTAAATGGAGGCAAGAAGACTGTAAAAATTATTGTGGAACGTACAACCGCTGCTAGGCAATGATCACGAAATAAGTAAATACATAACAGGCGTTACTAAGTAATAGCTCCGCAAACAAGATAATCTCCACAGGAACAAAAAATACAGCAATAACAAATGCGGTGTTTTCAATAAGGTCCAAGCACAGATGTTAAAAGCAAGTGCAGTTGCCTATTGCAGTGAGAAGCTGGTAGATGTGGCTGGGGACAGTTCAGGAACCCAGAGGAAAGGTAAGGTCAGCCGTTGGAAGCCGCTACCAAGCAACGACAGGGAAGACATGACTGTAAACCCTAGTGTGTGTGTGTAATAGTGAACTGTAAAATACAGTTATGCACTGTATCACAAGAGTCCAATAAATTTGGTCATCAATCCAAAAAAGTGTTTATAGTCACACAGTGACATTTTCTGGGGACAGACGCACAGAAGATTCACCATGATTTCTTTTAAAGCAGGAAATATTTCCTCAGCTCTCTGTACTACAATTTTTGGCACTCCTGTTGCAACAGACTGCAGAGTCTTTTGTGAGCTTGAAACTTCATCATCATGCATGATGGGCTAAGGGTTGAGTCAGTATGTGGCTTACAAGAATCCTAGTGATATAGCCACAAAGTTCTGTTGTGTGTACCAGTACGTGACTAGGATTATGTGACCAAGTTCTGAAAGGGAACATACTGTTTATGAATGGTGTTAAAACATATGACACTTTAACACTTTGCGGACCGTGCACCCCATAAAAGGTTTTTCGCTTTTAAACGTTGCGACCAGTGGCATAGTATTATGACTTTGGGACACGTTATGTTGGAACACACTATACCTTGCTCTGGCGCCTCGCAACTGCAATGAATACTGCGTAATAAATCTTCGGAATGTATGCTGGGTATTCAGTAACTTGACCTGGCTTGCTAGGGTCCCTACTCCAAAAGAAAATAAACTTTGCCCCTTCCAGCTGTTTATGTACCAGGCAGAAATTAGTAGAGGGGAGTATGTTTCAAGGACAAAAGCGGTTGAAGGCAAGCGATCTCTCGGACTTGTTTATGGAGCTATCCGCCGTGCCTTGTGGAGGAGTAGTAATTAGCGACTCAGACAGTGGAAGTGACAGGAGTCAACAAAGAATTGTGGCCACAGATAATAAAGGTGAAAGTTGCCTTGTGGCTTATAAATTGTGCCATTTTCAATTCATTTTTGGTTTACAAAAATCTAAACCCTGATTCTAAATCAAAATACAAAGCATTTCTGATGAATGTGGCAAAAGCTTGGGCTACAGACCAGATGGTGGCGGCAGAACCTGAGTCAGACAGGCTTAGTGCGACCTAGCCCATGAACTCCCACCCCATGCAAGCCTCATGTGGACACCCCTGGGCGACTCTCGGGTGATATGCAGAAACATACCCTTGTGAAAATTGTGAAGAGTGAACATTCCAAGGGGAAGCATCCTTCTAGGCAATGCCGTGTTTGTGCAGTTCACAAAAAAAAAAAGGACTATGACTGTCTACATTTGAAAGTGTATAATGCCATTTCAAAAAGGGGAATGTTTCCAGGAATATCAACTTTCAAGCACTTCTAGGAGCATTGGTAAGTGTTCTCCAGAAATTATAGTTCATAAAATTAATTCGGAGATTTTATATTAATTTTTAAAGTGAACAGTGCACAAGTTAGGGTAGTAGGTATAAAAATGCCGGTCCCCAGGGTGATTTAAATATTTAAATCGCCGGTCTGCAAAGTGTTAAGGAAACATATATTTGCATGGAGTATTAGGTTCTGTCAGTGGAGGCTGTGGGGCCTGCCATTTCTGAGGTTTGTTAATTTGGTAGTTATTAGTGACATTTAGCAGGAAGCTCCTGTCTTGGAAACAACATTAATAATCCTGAAGACTATACAACAACAAATCTCTGAATACAGTAATCCACATCTACAATGTGGGATATAGATAAAACTCTTGCCCATGCTGAGAACTGAACCCCAATCCTCCAGCCCATAGCCTGTTGCTGTACCAAATGAGCTATCGCAGCTCTTAATGTGAAAGAGCATATTTATTAGGAAGATATAAAATTCAACAAATGCTCTTCACATCTGTCTCATCCTGATAAATAAGAGGTTTGTTTACAACACTGCTGGTAAAGGTAGAGCTATCCCTTTAACAGGCTGTGAAGGCCCATAGGGTTGTAAGATGTCAAGGCTCCCATATTTTCTCTAGACAATCAGATCACAGATGGCGGTAAGGTTGTCAGCCTTAAGTGCTGGCCACCCTTTATCCCCTAGGCAGATTCCTGGTTCTCATTTCTGTTAGGAGGCTGAGCCCACCCCAGGGCCATAGTGCGGCTGGAAGGATTAGGTCAACTGAAAAAATTCAATGACCTCTTCAAGGCTCAAACTCAAGATACCGTCAGTAGTGAGGATAATCTTTAACGGTTGTGAAGCATGATGCATGAAGATTTTGGGAAGCGATCATGACCAGATCAATGAACTATCATGTCATTTACTTGGTGGGGGGGGGCAAAGAAAACTACGAAAAGCCTCAACGGTACATTGCCGGTATCCTGGCCGCAATTAGAACTGACAGCATCCATGTCTATAACATGTCTATAACGGTAACCCTCTAGCAGCCCCGGTACTTCTGAAGTTCTGAAGCATTCCTCATATTAAAAGTGGGAAGTCCCTGATGTGCACAAAAACCAACAGTCTCGACAATGCAACATCAAGAAGGAAATGTAGTGACGATATGTCCGAAAGTGTTCATTTACAAACATTAAAAGTTGAATGACAATCATCGGGTAAATGCGACCTAGTATATCGAATGTTACTTACACTTGCCAAATTCCTTTGTTTGCTTTCCAGTCTTTTAATCTCCATATCAAGGTTACTGTAAACCGTTGTAGACGACTTACACATATAGGATATTAGAGGTTCTCAAAGCGTTGTTATGAAAAGTTCGATCATCTGGGAAGTAATTCCGTGTAACCTTTGGCTAACCTTACTGAAGCCTTGACCAAATTCAGGCAACGTATAAAACTATTACACCGTCAAAATGAAAAACTAAATGTAATACAAGCAATAATACAAACCACAAAACAGCTTGCTAGTGACAATTTATCTTCATATGTGGATGAATTCGATAGCTTTTCACCGCTTCCTTCCCCATATCCATTGGACATAATCACTCTCTGCACAACACTTTGTACTCTTTGTAGCTCTTTATACGACCGATTGCATACAATTAGATGCGATTAGATGTGTCGATCGAGAGGATCGAGACTCATGTGAGAAACGATGCAATATGAATACCGCTGTGTGCCATCTATCAGCTACGCCTACGAAGACATAAAGGCAAAGAAGGTGATAAAATCAGAGTTCAGTCGGTATGGTCGGTATTATTCGACGAACAGAAATCTTTCCTCGTCTTCTAATACCCGATCTGACAAGGCCGACCAGGCCGACGGAGCTGGTGGATCAGACCGATCAGACCGGATCAGACGACTCAGTCTGAATCGTCTCAATGAATCCTGCAACCCCACCCCTAAAAATTTTTTTATTCCTTTATACTTTATTTAGTCGTAATGTCAGCTGTTCAGAGAATATGGCACCAAACGATGGGGTGAATAGTGACTAAGGAGTTGGAAGGGATATGGATGGAAGAGGTACTGTCCTAATTTAAGGTCCTATCATATGATTTGCATGAAGGGCGCAAAGAAACCCACAGGAATCCTCTACCAGGGCAGTTCACAGTTGACTTGTTATTGTTGTTCCAAAATATTTGAACTGTGCCACATTTTCAAAGCATCTGTTAGCTGTCTTTGTCATGATGTTTTGTCCTACATTCTGGTGATGAGACAGCAACATATACATCTTTCTCTGCATTTATTTCTAGACGTTCGAGACCAACCTCATTACTATCAATTAAAGTTCCTGTGTTTTTCTTTATGGTATCTATGTTATCACCCAGTAGACTCATATCATCAGCATAGACCAGCAGCTGATACATCCCATTTAATTTCAGACAAATGTTTACCTATAGCCTTTATCATACTTTCTATTTAAACACATTTTAATCAGCCTAACTAGTTCCATGGTAACCCCAAACTCTATGAGATTATTATACAATACTTTGTTCCTAAATGAATTATAGGCTTTCTTGTAGTCTATGATTAGCTGATGTGCCAGCTCATTGTACTCCAATTTTTTCTCCAGTAACTGATGTATGCAAAAAATCTGGTCAGTAGTTAATCTGTTATGTTGAAATACACACTGATGATCCCCAATAATTCCATCTTTGTATGGACTTATCCTTGAAAGAAGAATACTGGATAGAATTTTGTATAACGTTAATGGCAGTGATATCCCATGATAATTACAATGACCAGTTGTATCACCCTTCTTACGAACTGCTACAATAATAGACTCCTTCCACTGAGCAGGCAAGTCTTCCTTATTCCAAACAGAATTAGTGAGTTTATGGATCTGTCTCTGACTGTAATGTTTCACCTCCTGCTTGAATCAGCTCTGCTGGAATTTGATCACTACCTGGTGATCTATACCTTTTCAACTTTGCAATAGCAATTTGAATCTCAAAAGGACTAAGATCAGGTACTAACAGCTCTGCTGTAATTCTACCTGCCTAGCATCACTGACCCTATATACATTCAATAGCTGAGAGCAGTAATCTTTCACCTATTCAAAATATTGTGGGAAGCTGCAAGCAGACCACCATTCTCATCCTTCACCAAGTTACTTCCATGTTGGTAACCTTTTTTAAATTTGTTCATTCCTCTGTACATGTCTCTAATGATTTGTTCTTAGTGTTCATTTAGATATCCACTATTCTTGACCTCGGTCCTATAGAGTGGTGAGCAGTCTGCTTTGTGTCCTTGGGAGTACAGGCCCTAGTACCCTTTCCATAAGATGCTGGGTAGGCCCCAGCACCAGTTTGGAAATACAGAGACGAGAAAAATATCTTTCCCTGCCAGGAGTGGACCTGTGATTCCTCAGCTGTCCAGCATGTAGCCTGTAAGTATGCTGAGTGAGCTCTCTCGTCTCCATGATGCAAGTTGGGCACCTACTAAATAGGTTAGAAATGTTTTGACTTTGGACTGATTTTGTTGATCTCATAGACGTTATTCACATCGAACCAATCCATATTTTGAATGTTGGTTTTCCAGTGAAACTTTCTATAAAAATGTGACAAGTACTTAAGTCTGGGGAAAGCATGGTTCTTAATAAATGTTGTATTCCTTTAAGAATTATGGNGTTTGGAAATACAGAGACGAGAAAAATATCTTTCCCTGCCAGGAGTGGACCTGTGATTCCTCAGCTGTCCAGTATCCACTAAAAGATTTAATTTTGTAAGTGCTGAAGACATCTCACTAAGGGAAAATATCAATAAAAAATGTAGTTTGCTTGAAGGCAATTTGTATTCAATTGTGTGTGTTAGCCAGTTACCCGTGAATGCTGGACGGAATGCTGTTTTCCAACCACTTCATTTTATAAGTGATGTAAAACATGAAAAAGTATTTAAGCTTCCATATATTAATTACATTCAAACATGCAATATACACAGTGAAACTATGAACTACAGTTAATTATACTTATTATTATCTTCTGGCAAAATTAAGAACTATGTTACCAGTAAGAGATCTTTCCAAAAAATTGAATTTGTACTGCAAACTGATGAAACTTGAAATCTGTCTGATGTAAAGCCTGATGGAGGGAGAATATCAGAAGATGTAATGCGTATTTGTATAAAGAAGTGACAATATTTGTTGCATGTTGCTCGTCACTGTGCCTACGCAATATTACAAAAATGTAGGCTTAGGGGGAGTGGAGGTAAAGCTCCACACTTTCTTCACCATAGGGCTAAAAGGACATGACAGAACAGATTCATGCCCTAATTGCTTTATGCAAGACAAGTTTGACAGGAGGATGGGTGAGCTTCAGAGGTGGTTTGAATGTGAAGGTGATGAGAAAAATTCCACCACCTCCCTGGAGTAAATCCTGGTTATCTGGCTCACAGCTAGTCATTTTGCTTACAGATCTATTGCAGATTAGCCAAAGCAGCCATAACATTTTTAGATGACTTTTCTCCACTTGAAACATTACACAGCTGCAAAAAATTGTTCCTCCTTCCTCTCTCCACCTTACCTTTTCCAATTTATATTAGCCTACACACATTTTTCAGTCTTCTCAGGTTATTCAGTAAATACTAAATAATTGAACCCCTGTTATTATTCAGTGCAGATGGATTTACCGTTCAACACATACATTTACTGCTGTGTGCTAATTTGGATGTAATTAATGCTGTGGCATATACAACCGTTGCTATGCAACAACTGCGAAATAAGCAGCTATGCAACAGCCATTTCTAAGTGACTGCTCCACAAGGAAGCATGTTCCCATGGCAACAGTCATACTGCAACAGGGAAATGGTGTTTTCTATGCAGTCGCTGCCAAAATGTTATAAGCAGGCACGTGAGTGGGCTAGTCAGTAAGTTAGTTTGAGAGATGCTGGGGTTAGGTTGTTGTGAACTGCTGCTGTTAGAAGTTGGTAGCTGAAGTTGGGGATAGTTCGGGAACTCAGGGGAAGGGGAATCTCTGCCAATGGAAGCCGCTACCGAGCAATGGCAGTGAAGACATGACTGTGGACACTAATACATGTGTGTGTGTGTGTGTGTGTGTGTGTGTGTGTGTAACAATGTACTGTAAAGTGTAGTCACACATTGTATTAAAGAGAGTTCAATAAATCTGATTACTATCTATCTTGGCCAGCAGGCTTTCAATCATTTGTTCCAACATTTAGTATGACGATATAGCTATCTACTGTGGTCTCCAATCCATCAGCTTGAGCAATCGAATTCCACTTCCAACAAAAGTTATCATGTGATGGAGTGGTTATAAACAAAACCTGGAATGGTAATAGGTTTTACTGGAATCTTTTGATACAGAGTGTGACTATACTTTACAGGACAGATGCATGCATATGTGTAAACACACACACACACACACACACACGCATGCACATAAAAATAATGGCCATCTGAATGCATGATCTGGCAAAGGTATGGGTTCTTGGAGAAAACAACCTCTAAATGCTGACGTGTGAAAGCAACTTACACAGAAGTTTCTTCATATCTAATTCCATGCACAAGAAAGTCTTCTGATGATTCATTCATTCATTTTTATTCACCACGGAGATCAAAATACATTGGCTTAGGATATGTCCGTCCATGTTATACATTATACAAATTACAATAATGATAATAAATATTAACTTACTAGAAATATAACAGAAGTATTAAAAATAATGATAATAATATTAAATTATTAGAAATATAACTTATTCTACATATTTGCTTATCAGTAGCCAATATTACAGAATTCTTCATTGAGGTAATCTTCTACTGAATAATACCATCCATCAATCAGCGAGTTCTTCAGTTCCTTTTTAAACTGGTTGTTGTTATCTACTTGTTTTATGCTGTTGCACAATCTGCTGTAGAAGATGTAACCTGCTACTGATGGTTTACTCTTATAAAGTTCCAAATTATGTACATACTTATGATAATAATTATTATTTCAGGTGTTATACCATGTATTTGTTTATTTACAGTGCAGTTATCCTTTTCTTTTGAATATAAGATGGTTTATAGAATGTATACTGAATACACTGTTAATACTTTCAGTTGTCTGAAGTTCTCTCTATATGATTCACATTATTTTAACCCTGCCATATATCTTACAGCCCTCTTTTCAGGGGTAAATATTCATCTAGTGAGTGCCTCTGCACTCTGTCCCCACACAACGATTCCATATGCCAGAAGGGGATAGATCAAACCATAATACATTCATATCAAATATTTTAGATAGTCTTAATTATAAATAGGTTACAGCTAATTCTACTACAGGCATTTCAATATGTACATGTCAGCTTAGGTTACTGTCAATTATTACATCCATCCCCAGGAGTGTGTGATAACAATGCAGTTCTCCTTAATTGTCACAACTTACTGTCACACTACTTTCTGCATTCTAATCCCTAACCATGTCTTCCCAGCTTTTGGTATTGGTCATTCTGCCACACACAGTACTTGCTTGCTTACTTACTCACTCATGGAGCTGAGCCCTTCTCAAGGAGCCACCAATTCTGCAGCTACTCAAGAATTTCCCAGCATTTTATGGAACCCAAAGGTTCATTACCATGTTCACAAGAGCCCTCCACTGGTCCCTATCCTGAGCCAGATAAGTCTAATCCATACCATCCCATCCTATCTCTCTTCTAAGATTCATTTTAATATTTTCCACCCATCTATGCCTTGGTCTTCCCAGTGGTCTCTTTCCTTCTGGCATTCCCACCAGTATCCTACATGCATTCCTCTTCTCCCCCATTTGTGCTGAATGCTCTGCCCACCTCATCCTCCTTGACTTGACGAATCTAATCGTACCTGGAGAAGAGTACAAGTTATGACGCTCCTCATTATGCAGTTTTCTCCAACCTCCTGTCACTTCATCTCTCTTCGGTCCAAATATTTTCCTTAACACCCTGTTCTCAAACACCTTCAGTCTATGTTCCTCCCTTAATGTCAGAGACCAAGTTTCACACCCATACAGAACCACAGGCAAAATTATAGTTTTGTACGAGTATATTCTAATGTTTATGTTTTTTCACAGCAGACGAAAAGACAAAAGGTTCTGGACTGAATGGTAGCAAGCATTACCCGAGTTCAATCTCCTCTCAATTTCATCCTGAATCAGGTTTTGATTTGTTATCATCGTTACCAAATATCTGAACAGTGCCACAATTTCAAAACATCTGTTTCCTATCTTTATGTCATGATTTTGCCCTGCATTTTGGTGAAGAGACAGCAACATATACTTAGCCACACACAGTTGAATATTGATAACGTTACATGTAAATTATTTTACAGTTTGCCTTCCTGCATCTTCATGATTGTGTTGGGTGCATAATTCCTTGCACAGATCAGAGGAAAGTGGCTGTGGGACACCGCACACACGTAGATGATTCTTCAGGACACTCTTATACGTAAATGTTCTATTGCATGTAGAACAGGAAAATGGCTGCTCCTGACTATGCACTCGCTGATGTTCCTTCAGACGCCCACTCCCACTAAATGACTTATTACACACATGACAGGAAAATGGCCGATCCTCACTATGTACCTGTTGATGCGTCTTCAAATGACTTCGTCTACGAAATGATTTGTTACACATATCACAGGAAAATGGCCGCTCCCCACTATGTATGCGTTCATGTATCTTGAGCTCACTGTTAGATGTATATGACTTATTACATACAGGACAGGAAAACAGCCGCTCCCCGCTATGTATGCGCTGATGTGCCTTCAGATGACTGTTACATGTATATGACTTACTACATACAGCACAAGAAAATGGCCGCTCCCCACTATGCATGCGTTGGTGTATCTTCAGGTCACTGTTGCAGATATATGACTTGTGACACACATCACAGGAAAATGGTCTGTCCCCACTGTGTATGCGTTGATGCATCTTGAAATAATACTGCCTACTAAATGACCTATTACAGACATCGCAGGAATATGGCCGCTCCCCACTATGAATACGTACATGTCCCTTTAGATGATTTTGCTGACTAAATGACTTATTACATACATGACAGGAATACGGCCGCTCCCCACTATGTATGCGTTGATGTTCCTTCAAATGACCATACCTTGTGAATGTTTTTTTGCATACATCACAGAAAAGTGATCGGCCTGCAGCATGTATACGCTGATGTCTCTTCAGGCCACGGCTACGGCTGAATGTTTTGTAACACACATCACAGGAAAATGGAAATTGATCATGTATGACTTTATCCTTATTCACAATGCCCTGGAAAAGAAGACAAATATTAGAATGAATTTATACAGGAAAAGGAATGAGTCTGAAAGTACGTTCTAATTGAGGTCAATATTGTACTACATGAACTGTGTTCTTTACCAAACGATTGGCCAGGTTTGTATACTGGTTACATCCTAGACTGCTGTTCTGGAGGTGCTTCTTTGAATCTTGAATGAGACACTTTCTACAGTCGGAGGTATTCGTGGGTTTCCTCAGTCCCGCCAGCCAAATACTAGGATAGTAATGTCATATGTATGGGTGGCTTATAAGATGGGGTTTGGATTAATAGTTTTATTTTACTGATCACTCCTTGTACAATCACTCACGATAAATCTTCAGCCGAATCTTTCTTCCTTGACTGCCTACATCTCACACAATTCTGGTCTGGACTGCCTCCATTCTGGTTGGACTCTCTCTATTGTCATCTGAGCTAGGACTTGATTTTGGTCATCTGTTATATAACATCAGGACACACCACCAGGAAACACCTTTCATTTGCCATATCCATGGAAATGTCTGTTGTTTACCTGTACTGCATATCCACGAAAACGTCACCACATATCGGGTTGGTTTCCAAGAATCCATCTCCATGGAAACATGGAGCAAAACGTCATAGTGCACTGATTAAGCCAGAATTTCTTCCACACAAATCCTTTCCAATTCTTCATTCATTAATGGGAGGGTGTGCAGTTGACTCATTAATTGTTTCACTAAGGATATGGACCACTGACAGGCTCCTGTAAGCAAATTAACAAACTTCTGCTTTCCATATGAAGCAGACAGTTTGTTCTGCACAGGTACTAGCTTCTTAAAGGAACACTGCTCCATGAAGCAGGTTAGTCATTGTACCATATATAAGAATGCAATATCAAAATGGAAACTTGCTCATCAGTACAAACTAAGCAAATCTGTGAATGTACAAATACCTTTATTATACTCCATCACACCAACAAGAATACAGACCTGTGTATAATGTGACAAGGAAGCCAGAAAAGATAGCCACTGCTAGGCAACAGCAATGAAAGCATGCTTCCTCAGCAACAAATCAACATGAAACAATAGAGGAAATGCTGGAAATAGCTATCTGGAGATATCTGCTAATTATATCAGTAATGACTTATGCTTGACCCAAGGGGATAATGACCTTCTAAAATTGCAACAGTTGCAGAAGAGGGTTCTCCACACCACTGGTAATGTCCAAGGCAGAAACTGGTCTGCAAATAGCACATGGCTCTCCAAGTACCATACATTTAAATTGTGCAGGCAACAAGCAGGAGTCATATAAAATCATGAAAATACAAAAGTTTATGACGGTGGAAATGGCTAAGCTTCACAAAGAAAATATAAGAAGCTTAAACTTGGTGGCAGTCAAGTGCATGACTGTTCAAGTGACTGGGCAGCTGTTCTAATATGAGCTGCATGAGATAGGGTTTGATCTGCTGTGCCAAGCATAAACTGACATGGGCCTTGTTTATATTGTGCATATATATACACTAAAGTTACACGTAAAACTGTAAATATGTTGTATCCACAAGGAGCCAGACTGTTCAAGACTTACACTGTAGAATTCCTACACTTTGAACAATAAATATAGATGACATGTATTACTGGCTATGACCACATTAAATGACAGACCGGTTCTCTCATCAGAGAGGACTAACCCACATTGACAAATCTGCAACTATATGACAGTACAAAAAACAAACCAACAAATAATATATGGTTTTGGGCGTGAGATGAGGCTTGACTTCCTGACTGGCTGGCTGATTGACTTTGACTTTGAGTTAGTCATGGCTAAGGGACCATGAGATGCACATAAGTGAGTGAGCTGCAAGGCTGCTGCCATTAAATGAGGACACAAACAAGTGAGCTGATGAACATGCATGGTTAGCCGCTGTAACCAAGCAACAACTAGCAAAGACATAACAGACTGAGACATAGCATGTGCAGAATTTATCTGTTAAATGTGTACATTAGTGATAGCACTAAACTATTTACAGCTATGACTTATAAGAGTTTAGTGAATCCAATTATCAATCCAAACCTTAAGTCCAGTCACTAACACATGACAATATCTTTCTTCCATCTGACAATCAAGAAGAATGGGAATTGATGACACAAAACAATGGCCAGTGAAAAAAATGGTTCTCCTAAAATTTGCTAGAGGCCCAGCTAGAAGATGAATGTGAGTTCACTAGGGATCAATGGTAGCACCTCTACTATCCCTGTCAGCACACAGGAGAGGTAGTTGCAGGTGCCCAGGTGTTGGCAGGCAAACAGAAGAAAGAACTCACTGCATGTTCAGCTTTCATCACTGGAAATGATATCGCCACTGGATTCCCTTCCTCTTCCACATCTGAAGCCTCCTGAACTTTTATACTGATGGCCTGAAATGCATCATGAGAAGTTGTAGGACATGTGTCAGTACATGAACCTGGGACATCTTCCTGTGGATGTGCACAGTCCTGCAAAACCAGCAAACCCGTATCAGTCAGGGCGGTGCGCTCTCATTACAGAGAACAGCATACACTTTCATTACTATGGTCACTGTGCAGTGCATCACCCTCATGACGGCTGCTCTGTACAGGTTTTCTTCATTGTAACTACCAGAAATGTTATTAGTTTGCAACTCCATGGTGTAGCCTCCGTCTTGAACGCATACATGTAGTGGTCACTCAGAAAATGCAGAAATTGCCCACCTTTTGTGGACACATGGAAAGTAGCCCATCACTGGTTCCTCTCCTGAGCCACAGCCTCAAGATCTGCTCTTAATACTGCCCTTCCATCTATGTATAGGTCTCCCAATTGGCCCTTCCATTTAGATTTTCCAACCAAAACTTTCTACGGACACATCATCTCTCACATGAATGCTGAATACTCTGACAATCTCATTTTCTTTGATTTGAGCATTCTAATATCTGCTAAATTGTTCAGGTGTTACAGCTTCTCATTATGCAGTGCTCTCGAGCCTGTCACTTTTTTCTCTTAGGTCTAAATGTTCTCCTCAGTATCCTATTCCACACCACCGCAATGTATATTCTTTCTTCCTTTAAGTAAGAAACCAATTTGCATACCCATAATACCACACAGGAAACAAAACTACAGCTTTGAATATATTTTAACATTATGTTCTGCAAGAGCAGATGAGAACACAAGAAATTCAGAAATTAAACGCTGCAAGCATTTCCCAAATTTAATCTTCTCTACACAGTGAAACCTCCATTTTACACTTTTTAAGACACAGGCTAAATGAGATGTAGCATCGAGGAAAGTGTAAAACCAGTGATTTGAGATCGATATAATGTAAAGGAAATTTGGGTTTCATTGTATCATATTTTAGAAGATCATTTAAAAAATACATGTTTTAACATGTAGAAGCAAGTACGATTCTTGGTTTATTTTGTTGATGCTTTTACCAACTCCTGTCTTTACATGGAATCTGTAAGATGAGAGGTGATTATAACAGATCTTTGGAAAAACTAAGGAAGTAGCCTGGGTCCATTTCAAGGTACTATCCCAGCATTCATCTGGAGAGATTGGCAAATGTGGTATATATCTAGTTAGAGTATCTCTTTAACCATTCATTAAGAGTCTCTCATAGCTTTTTTTCTTGAGCTCTCAGTCTGTATAAATTACCTTTCGACGTTATTGCACATTACAATAATAGTGTTCTCCATATCCAATTGACACGAACTTGCTCATTGCTTCCAGTCCTTTCAGTGCATACAAGAATACTGCTTTATCTTCTGAAACTTCTTCTGTCCTAGTCAAATGCTGATCTGACACCTGGTATCACTCAACATTCTACAAACTTCAAGAGCACTGTCACATGTTGTGCAGTCCTTATACTGCACTCCAAGAGGATGTAAAGTAAACCAGTCATCTTCTTCATCCTCACTGAGTTTCTCTGCACTGTTATCGTTCCCCTTGAAGTGAGTGCCATCTGTTTAAAACAGTATTCTCATGTGCTAGACTGAACAGTGCAGTAAGTATGATTACAGTTTCTCCAGTGGTGACGGATTCAGTGACATCTGCTACTTTGAGAACTGTCCACGCTGGACATACCTTCTTTCAGTGTCTTGGCAGATCTTCACATCAGTGTTTCGCTTGGACACTGAAATTGTGAAGTGTGATGCCAGTTCAACATGTGTGCCAATATGTGCATCAACCTGCACTGCATTATTTATTTTACGACTTATTATAAATGGACCCCATTTTCTTTTATTACCCATATTTCATTCTCCTGCTGTGAAATTCATATTAATCAAAAATAAACTTTGGTTTCTAAGAAAGGAATTCATATGAGCACTGGGAGAGTGAAGAATTTATGGTGAGTGCATTTATGTTGAATGTTTCACTTATGAGAAGACACTCATGACTAGTTCAAAGCTGAACTAATGCGTGAGGTGCTACAGTGGTGGAACAATCTGTTTCTGCGTGACAGGCTGTACAGACGTCAAAGGTGCACACAAATTCCATGCAGCAGTTTATCAGCCATTTGGAAGAATGTGTTTTTTAACTGAACCACTTGTGACAGCAAGGAGGGAAGGAAGTCAGTTGTGCTGAACATGAATTTCTGAGAAGTGAATTACAAAATGCAAAATCCTGTAAATTTTCTTAGTCAGAACTATAAAAATGAAGTGCAAAATCAGGGAAAACAAGAAAATATGGAAATATTAAATCAATGAAAGTTTAACATTTCTGTTATGGGCATTTAGATGGAAACATGCAAAGAGTAAAAAAAAAAAAAAAAACCGGAATTATACAGTCGAGGTTTCACTGTATTTAATCTTGAATACAAGTTAGTTCTTGAATTTAATCAGTATTTTGTTTCATGTCTATTGCCTTTACACATGAGGGCAGCAATATACCATCAGCAAAGTGTAATGACAAGCAATCCGCTTGAGACATGTCAAAAAGGATTTAGTTTAGAGAGATCAGAGAGAAAACAGGCAATTCTGGATGTGACTCAGATATGCCTCACAGTGGACACGGAGGGGACATACAACTCACCTCATGTTCAGCCTTTATTCCTACAACTGCCATTGGCTCAGAATCCTTGCTATCTTCTATATCTGAGAATTCTTCAACTTTTATGTACACAGCCTGAACACCATCGAGTGATGATGATGCACATGCCTCACTATGCGAGGCTGGTTCATCTTCCTGTGAATCCAAGGAGTCCTGTAAAACCACCATACCCTTATCAATCATGGCTGTAATGTCATTACACAGAACAGGATACGCTTTCATTGTCATCACCATCCTGCACTGCATCAAACTGATAACCGCTATGTTATAATGATTTTTTCTTTGCTGCCCTTCATGGACCCAAATGTCTCATTACCATGTTTGCTACAGCTTGCTTCTGCTCCCTGGTCTGGGCCAAGTAAAAAATTATTTATTTAAATTACATTTTAATAGTAATCTCTTGTCCATGCATACATCTCCCATCTGGCATCTTTTGTTCTGGATTTCTATGCTAATGTTTGTATGAACGTCTTGTCCCTCACATACATGCTGTATGACCTGTCCCTCACATCTTCCTTGAATTCATCATCCTAATAATACCGAAGACATTAAGCCTTCATAAAGTGTACACCTATTCTTACAAAAAAAAAAAAGTTTTAATATAAGCTTGTACGTGCATGTAAATTCATGCAACAATATCATACAATTTTCTTTTCAATGGATGCAACACATAACAGTGCCCATGGTTTCTTTAAAAGCAGGGAATATTTCCTCAGCTCTCTGTAATACAATTTTTGGCACTCCTGTTGCAACAGACTGCAGAGTCTTTTGTAAACTTGAAACTTGATAATCACACATGACGGACCATGGGTTGTCAGAAAGTGGCTTACAAGAATCACTGTGATATACTATCAAAGTCAATAAGTTTGTGGACTGACTGCAAAGCGTCGTATCGCACTACAGCGGATAGGTTGAGGCACGATATGATGCCCTGTCAGTTCATATCGCGTCACAGCAAGAGTCAGTTATGTGCAAACTGTGTAAGCAGAACTACGGCCTCTATTGTGAACTGCAGTTAAATGTGTGTGGCAGAAATAAAAAATGTGGCAGTTTGAACATTGGGCAAACATCAAGTTCTGCCAAAACTAGGCAAATCCCCTAGCGAAATGTTTAACATGATGAAACAAGTGTATGGTGAAGAAGCTTTGGGCCACAGAGTGGCAAGAGAAACTGGCAAGGTAACAGGTCACCGTTTTGCCACACCCTCCGTATTCACCTGATCTCACATCATGTGATTCTTTCTCTTTCACTGCTTCAAAGCAAAGCTATGTGGTCGTAGATTTCAGTCGGCCGAGGAGGTTGTCAATGCCACAAGAGATGCTGTATGGGAATTTCCTGCCAATATGTTTCAGCAATGTTTTCAGCAGCTATATCAACATTGGCAGACTTGCATAGCGGCCAACGGCGACTATTCTGAGGGGCCAAAGTGGATCTGTGTAAGTGTATGTGAATACCCTGTAATATGAGATAACACCACAGTCCACAAACTTAATGACTGTACCACTTATTGGTTCATGTGCACAGCATTCATGCAAAATGGCAGTACACAATGAACAATGATTAACAAAAAGAAAGGCTCTTGAGACATGTGAAAAGGGGCTTTTCAAGAATTGACCCTTCACCAGACTGGAGAAGTTTCATGTGGCAGATGCAAAGGAGAAAGCGAACAGGCAAATCTGATGTGACACAGATATACGTAACAATGGACACAGGGAGACATACAACTCACCTCATATTCAGCTTTTATTCCTTCAACTGGCATTGGAACAGGATCCTCCCTATCTTCTATATCTGAGAATTCTTCAACTTTTATGTTGAAAGCCTGATCACCACTAAGTGATGGTGATGCACATGTCTCACTATGTGAGGCTGGTGCATCTTCCTGTGAATCCAAGTAGTTCTGTTAAATCACGATACCCTTATCATTCACAGCTATAATGTCATTATACTTAATAGCATACCCTTTAATTCCATCACCATCCTGCACTGCATCAAACTCATAACCGCTATGATATAATGATTTTCTTCTTTGCTAACCTTCATGGACCAAAATGGCTCATTACCATGTTTGCTACAGCTTGCTAATGCTCCCTGGTCTAAGCCAAATAATTCCAGTCTGCACACTCCCACATTACATCTTTAAGATCCAACTTAACAGCAACCTGTCATCGATGCATATATTTCCCATCTGGCATCTTCTCTTCCCCATTTCTATGCTTAACTTTGTACAAAAATCTTGTCCTGACATACATGCTGTATGACCTGCCCCTCACATCTTCCTTGAATTCATCCTGCTCATAATAAAGCAGACATTAGGCCCCCACAATGTGTGCACCCATTCTTACAAAATAAAAATATAGAAATGACTTTTAATACAAGCTTGTAGCAAATTGTCTAGTTCAATGATGTAACAAGAACATAAAATTCCTTTTGGATGATGAAAGCACAGAACAGTGCCCACGGTTTCTTTAAAAGCAGTGAATATTTCCTCAGCTCTGTCCTATCACAATTTTGAGCAATGTGAAGAAGAAGAAATCCTCCTGAGACATGTCAAAAAGGATTTCTCAAGAATTCACCTATTCACCAGACTGGAGAAGTTTTGAGTGACAGATGCAAATGTGAAAGGGAACAGGCAATTCTGGATGTAAGCAATGTATGTTTACCAGTGGACACAAAAACATACAACTCACCTCATATTCAGCTTTTATTCCTACAACTGTCATTGGTACAGGATCCTCCCCATCTTCTATATCTGAGAATTCCTCGACTTTTATGTTGACAGCCTGATCTCCATCGTGAGACAATGAAGGACAGGCCTCACTATGTGAACCTGGTTCATCTTTCTGTGAATCCAAGCAGTTTTGTTAAATCAAAATACCCTTGAAGAAAGCACGTGAAAGCCTCAAATCTTACAAAATACCCTTATCAGTCATGGTTATAATGTCATTACACAGAACAGGCCACACTTTCATTGACATCACAATTCTGCACTGCATCAAACTGACAACCACTGTTTTCCATTGTTTTCCTTCTATGCAACTATGAAATCCATTACTAACCACTAACAGCAAACAGGAGAGTCACTGTTTGTGCCAGCCCTTCCTGGGCCAAAGAAATTCAGTCCACACCCTCCTGCAGCACTTTTTACTTAAGATCTCTTTTATCCTGTCATCCATGCACACATCTCCCACCTGAAATCTCTTGTGCATTTCTCTCAAAATACCCGAATAAATATCTTGTCTCTCATAAACATGACACATGACCTGCCCCTCACATCTTCCTTGAATTCATCATGCTAATAATACAGAAGACACTAAGCCCCCACAATGTGTGCAACCATTCTTACAAAACTGAGAAAATAGAAATTACTTTTAATGAAAGCCTGTAATTAAGTATTCAGATCACTGGCTGTGTAATTGCAGACAACAAGATCATCAAATTACTGTAGCTACTAAGCAGCAACAGTGAAATAAGCAAATATACAACAGCCATTACTAATTAACTGCTCTTCAAATAAGAGAATCTCTACAGTAGCAACAAAATACAGCAATAACAGAAGCGGTGTTCTCTATGTGGTGCGCAGAGATGTCATATGCAAGCCCAGTTACCTACTACGGTAAGTTAGTGAACGGGTGAGTCAGATAACCTCTTGGGTTCAGGTGCTGTGAGAAACTGGTAGCTGAGGCCAGGGACAGTTCAGGAACCCAGAGTAAGGGTAAGGTCAGCCGTTGGAAGCCGCTACCAAGCAAATGACAGTGAAAACGTGACTACAGACACTAGTGTATTAATGCAATATAAAGTGTAGCCATGCACTATATCAAGGAGTAAAAAAATTCAGTTATAAATCTCAAACATGTCTATAGTCACATTCCATCATGTGATATTATTTTCTGCGAGCAGAAACACAGAAGACTCACCATGATTTGTTTTACAGCAGGAAATATTTCCTCAGACTGCAGAGTCTTTTTTGAGCCTGAAACTTCATCATCACACATGATGGGCTAAGGGTTGAGTCAAAAAGTGGCTTACAAGAATCCTAGTGATATAGCCACAAAGTTCTGTTGTGTGTACCAGTACGTGACTAGGATTATGTGACCAAGTTCTGAAAGGGAACATACTGTTTATGAATGGTGATAAAACATACAACACTTTAAGGAAACATCTATTTGCATGGAATATTAGGTTCTGTCAGTGGAGGCTGTGGGACCTGCCATTTCTGGGGTTTGTTAATTTGGTAGTTATTAGTGACATTTAGCAAGAGGTTCCTGCCTTGGAAACAACATTTATAATCCTGAAGACTACACAACAACAAATCTCTGAGACAGTAATCCATATACTTAACTTCTAAGAGGAAAGAATGCAAGTACATTCACTATGCATTTGGATACATTGCAATTTCAATTACTTCACCCTAGGCCTTGAGCTCTCAGACTTCTTTTTAAGGAAATGTGGACTGGCATGCCTAACTGATGTGGAAAAATATAAAATGGTTAAATATGCAACAAACAATGCAGGCCAGGCTCAAAAAATGTTGAGAACTTTAGAAAAATTGGAACAAAGAAGAGGCAGGAAGTATAATTTACAGGAACAAAGCAATAGCATATTAGAGAAATAGCAAGCCTATTTCTTTCAGTGCTCACTAGCAACAAGTAGCCTCCAACTGGTGTTCACTGCATGTGTTTAAGAACTACAGCTGAAAACAAACCAATATGCAATTCAGTAATGAAAAGTTTAATGTATTTGCATGAGGATGGCCTTTCGAGGGCTCAAATATGTAGCAAAAGTATTTCTCAGAGCTACTTACAGTATTATTGATTGTTGTATTATGATGGTTGTCAGTAAGAAATAATATATGATACACAACAGGATGCATTCACTGAAAATTATAAACGTTAAGGTTAAGTTGTCCTTGTACCGAATTTATTAAGCACTATACCAGGAACATGTATGGGGGAGTACAGTACGATTCTTGACTTGAGGAAAAGATTGAAGTGAGTGGTCACTACCATACCATGGCCTCCTCACTCCTGGGGAAGTGACCTCAGTAGCCATAGGGCAGGAGGCTGGGTGCGTTCCAGAGCTGGTTTGAGGTAGAGATAAAACTCTTGCCTATGGTGAGAACTGAAACCCAATTATCCAGCCCATAGACTGTTGCTATACCAAATGAGCAATCTCAGCTCTTAATGTGAAACAGCAATTTGATAGGAACATATGAAATTCAAAAAATTATCTTCACATCTGTCTCATCCTGATAAATAACAATGTTTTTTCGGGTTTGTTTTAAGATACTGTCGGTCAATAGTGAGGATAAGCTTTAATGGTCATGAAGCATGATACATGAATTTTTTGGAAGTAAGCAGTCATGTCCAGATCAACAAACTATCCTGTCACTTACTTGGAGAGGTCAAACAAAACCACGAAACTCCTCAACGCAAAACAGCCCGTATCCTGTCCGAAATTCGAACCGAAAGCATCCACAGTACAAGTCTATAACAGTACCCCTATGGTAAACTTGTACTTACGAAGTTCTGAAGCATTCGCCACACTAACAGTGGGTACACAAAAACCAACAGTCTCAAAAGCGGAAAGTGAAAAACGAAGTAAAGTGAGGAGATGTCTGAAGTGTACTACAATTCCAAATATTTTAAAAGTCGAATGACAATTAAGGGATAAACGAGGCCCAGTAACTCGAATGTTCCTTTATGTGCTTTCCAGTCTATTAATTCCAAGATCAAAGTTATTTTGGACTACCTACGAATATAGAAAATTTGAGGTTAACACGGCGTTGTTTACGATGAGTTCTATCACCTGGATTGTATTGCCGTGTAGCCTTCCCTTATAAAACTATAAAACTGTAACATCAATAACACGAAAAACTACCGTAACAGAAACAGTATTACAAACCACATTATAGCTTGGTAGAGCCGACTTTTTCTCATATTTTGATGAAATTGATCGCCTTTCCTTATTTCTTTCCCCATTTCTGTATGGCTAATTCTCTACCTCCACAGAAAACGCAGCAACCGTTATGTACATACAGAAGATTTAATTCACACTCATGCACGCTAATGCACGAAAAGATTCATCACACATACTACTATGCCACCTATCAACTACGCATGCGAAGACAGAACGGCAAAGTAGGTAATATAATTATAGTTCAGTCGGTACTATTAGACCATCTCCTCTCTTCGAAACCCCTTTTCGACATATGTGGTCGGCAAAGGAGGTGTTTGTCAGACCACTCAATCTCCATAAATCCAACCACCCCAAATTTTTATTTATTTATATTTTATTTACCGGTAGTGTCAGCAGCTCAATGAATATGGCATCAAATGTTGAGGGTGATTCATGAAAAATCAGTTGGGTAGGATATGAATGGAGGGGGTACCACCCAAATTTCAGACCCTATTACAGGTTTTGCCAGGAGGGAATGAATAAAACCACTGAAAACATCGCCTAAAGACAGTGTTCCATCCAAGATGGAAGTTGGGCAGGTAAAGGCATTGCTGATCATGCACAACGCCATGAAGACGTGTGGGAAATTAAAGGTATAGCACCACCTTTCTTGAACTCAGTACTATACAGTGGTGAGTGGTCTGCCTCCTAACCCTGAGGAAAGAGTCCCATGTACCGCTTGTATTGGAGGCTGGGTAGGCCCCAGCACGTCTGAACATTATAGAGATGAGGAAAACCTCTCGCCCTGCCAGAAGTCAAACTCGGATTTCTTGGTCAGCCAGCACATAGCCCATTCATATGCTGATTGAGCTCTCAGCTCCATGACCCATAAATAAGGTACAAATGTTATGAGTTTGGGTTCATTTTCTTGGTCTCATGGAAATTATTCATATCAAACCAATCTATAATTTCAACCTTGGTTTTCCATTGAAGCTTTCTGTAAAAATTATTTAATTTGGGGAAAGGTCATGTAACTTCCTCAAGATTCCTTTAAAAATTATAGATGCAACTTTGTCCATATCAATCTGAAACAAATTTACTGGAATAAGCTGGAGCACTTTAATTTACTGTATATCATCCACTGAAAAGTTTTATGGTGTTGAGGACAGCTTAGGATGGGAAATCATCAATGAAAAATGTGTTTTGCTTTAAGAAAATCTATATTCAATTTCATTTTTGTTTGCCACTTACACCTGAATGCTGGACAAAACATTGTTTCTCAACAACTTCATTGTATAATATAAAATATGAAAAAACAGTTTCCTCATACTCAGTATCATTCAAATATGAAATATACACAGTGAAACTATGAACTATAATTAATTATATTTATCATCATCTTCTGGAAAAATTAAGAACTATGTTAGCAGTAGAGATCTTTCCAAAAATTTGAAGTGGTGCTGCATACTAAAAAACTTTAAATATGTCTGATGTAAAGTATGATAGAGAAAGAATATCAGAAGATGTAACGTGTCTTTGTATAAAGATGTGACAATATTCATTGCAGGTTGCTTGTCCCTGTATCTATGCATTATAACACAGATGTAGGTTTCTGGGAAGTGGAAGTAAAGTTCCATACTTTCTTCGCCACAGGGCTACAGAACATGGTCATGCCCTAGCTGCTATATGTAAGAACCCAATTTTGACATGAGAACTGGTTTGAATGATACTGTGATGAGAAAATTCCATCTCCTGCCTGAAGTAAATCCTGGTTGTCTGGCTTGTAGCCAGTCATTTTGCTTACTGAACTATTCCAGATCACTAGCCAAGGAAAGCATAAAATTTTAAGTTGATGTTTTCCCACTTGAAAACATACTGTTGCATGCCACCTAAAAGCCAGAATATCTGAGTCAGAGTGGGCATTCACTGCTAGACAACGGCTTGGTAGTCATGGTCCTGCATCCTTGTGTGGGTGACAAACACATTCATCCGACAATGCATACTGTAACGAGCGGGCTGAAAGACACAACCTGCACATCTGCTGGGAGGAGCTTAGTGGGGTGCATTCCCGTGGTAACGCAAAATACAGTTACCCTAGCTTTTGATGGAGCTATTGGAGACATATCCATGGTAACAACATTCTAAACACACTGTTACAAAGGACATGACAAATAGAACTCTTCAAGGTGATTCCTATCCCCATCTGCCTAGCAGAAATAAAGGTAGAGCAGGTGAGAGGAGACACATACAAAACAGTGAGGGATTTGGTATCCAGAATTAGTTGAATGTGTGAATTACCGTAACCGAGTGCAAATGTATAAGTAACGTCCAATAAACCTAATGATCAAAACTAACAATCCACAATTATTCTTCACAGAACGCCAGACATGTGACAATATACAGCCTGTATCTACCTTTGACACATATTATACATTTTGAATAAATTATCTTCTGTCACAAAATGTCTAAGCACATACAATTCATTACTGCTTACAGTACTTACAGAAAAATATAGCAGCTTCATCTCCTTCATAATCCATGGCTTCAAGAAGTCTCACAGATGTCGGGCATTTCAGAAAACTGTGGAGGGAAAGTCTTCGCTTGGCATCTCTGGTGTACAGTGAAACACTGCTACACTCAAAAATAATATCCATGTGTGTGTGACTAACCGTTATCCCAGTAATACTGTTAACATGTGTTTTCTAGCATTCAGCACTGTATTGATGTGTGAGCAAGACAACCTTACTGCCATCTTTGAGCCAATTGTCTAGATAATGTGGGACTCTCAATGTCTCGCAACCCTATGGGCCTTCATGGCCTGTTACAGGGATAGCTTTATTTATTATTTTTTTTATTTATTTTTTATATGCAAGTGTGGATCTGTTGACTTATAACATTTTGCCAGACTGCAATGGATTGTCCTAGGTAATAAACAACTATTCCCTTTATAATTGTTTGTTGGGACATCTATTGTCTGTATGGGCAGGACATATTACATACATGAGAGGGGTATGGCTGATGTATATACTTATAAACCCTTTGTGTTTCATAACATGTGATGCATTTCTTTGCCATCTTCTCGATACTGCCTGTACTTCATGAAGAAACTTAGTACTGTCACATGTATGGGTGACTATAGACAGGTTTTGCATTAGTAATTGGATTGAGTGAACTCTTACAGGTGACTACAAGTAATTATGATAATTTCACTAATTCACAGACTTCATAGTTCATTATACCATGCATTTAAGTTTTCTCAGACTGCTGTGTCTTCATCAATCTTCTGGTACCGGTTTCCAATGGCATTCATCTTCCTTTGGGTTCCTGAATTGTTCTTGGCCTCAGCTGCCAGCTTCCTTCAGGAACAGCTCAAAAAGACTGAACCTCAGCAGTCCTCTGCCTGACTCACTCACTCACCAACTCACTCCTCTCAAATAACTGTCTTGATTATAACACCTCGTCATGAACCAGAGAGAAAACACTGCTCCTCTGTTGCTGTCTATGGGCTGATGTCTAGCTGTTTGCTACATGGTCATTGCATAGCAACTACCCTACATGCCACAATATTTACATTTAGAACTGTCACTACAATGCACAGATGAAAACAAGACATGAGAAGGAACTTTTACATACCACAGAACTTCCTGATAGCATGCTGCCCAAACTGAACATTAAGGCTCAGCATCGCCAAGAATTTATGTGGCTAGGTTATTATTTTTTTTATTGCTAGTGGGGTGGGACTAAGTCCCTTATACTGTGGCCACTTCTGGTCAATTGTACCAGCCCCAGATGATAGGTGAGGGTGATTGTGGAACAATTGGTGAAATGAAGATTGGCACGGGAAGCTGAAGTACTCAGGGAAAACCTGCCCCGGCGCCACTTTGTCCACCACAAATCCCACTTGACCAGACCCAGGATGGAACCCAGGCCATCACGGTGGGAAGCCAGCGACTAAAGGCTTGAGCTATGGTGCGGCCCTTGGCTAGGTCACTAAGACTGGGCACACAAATTCAAAGATTCTCTCTTCGTTCGCACTTTGGCCATACCGACTCGTCATCCCCTTGGGCACTGTCAAAATGCCAGTTCTGGAATTCAGTGTAATAATATTGCTCCTAAAGAACCAGGTCACTCTGCATTGTACACACAGTAGTGTCTACATACAAGGAAAAAATCTGTAGAACATATACTAGGAATAAGGACACTCTGTAGTACTACTCGTACTCAAGCACTGATGTCTTCTGCGTCGACTCTTAGAACTGAAAGATTTTTACAAACAACATGAAAATTGCCAGCTCCCAGCATTCTCTGTGCAGTCTGCTAAGCAAATAATTTATTACAAATATCACAAGGAAACATCCAAACCGGCAATGTGTGATGACACAATTCCCCTTAACCTTTTGACGTGGTCATTTAAATTCCGCGGCCGCGGCTCCTGCGGTAATATATTCAGCCGGCCATTTAAATTTTGCTCGAAAATTATTTATTCATCATTGTTCTTAAATTCTATGAGATAGGAACATGAAACTTTCACTAAAATGATCTTAAAAGGTGGTTTTATAACCTTACCTTATAATATGAACCCCCTTTATATCTTCAATGGAAGCAGGTTGTTTAGTATTTGAGCAGTGAATGGTACGCTTTGAAGGATGAAACTTTCACTAAAATGATCTTAAAAGATGGTTTTATAACCTTGCCTTATAATATGAGCACCCGGTATCTCGGCTATGTAAGCAGGTGACGCCTTGAAGCATTAGTCTAAACACAGAGCTGGCTCTCGAAACGACCACCAAGGTCAGTACGATAAAATGGCGTCAACTGGAGCGATAATGAGTACTTTTCCCTCCCCCACACACATCCGTATCGTCTCAGGGGGTGACCACAGTGTTCTGCCTTAAATTGTGGCGTATTTCTAAGAAATGGGTGCTATGTACTGTGCGAAAGCAATCGATTTTACGAGAATAACATTTTGGACAACCCTCTTCTAAGAATTCCAATGGAATGTGTTTGTGTGGCCAGCTCAGGGCAATATGATATTATATACAACAGCACACATCACCTCTCTGGTGTTTATTACTTCACAAGCAAAGCAAATACGCCATTGAGTGACGAAACCGCTACAAGAAGCAACACGAATTTGCTGCAAGACAGGCATATGTAACGATGACTTATCTCAGCTAAACTCGTTGGCTTAGTATACTCTGTTCTTGTGACAACAGGCCAGCGAAAAATCCAACAATCTACAGCAAAACCATCAATTATTATGGGCGTTATAACATAGGTGTGCAGCTGGACGAAACATACACGCCGAACCCCCCCAGACGATTTAAATCCCTGACGAAACATACACGACGAACCACGGCAACGGGTTAATAACCACATCTAGCTTACATACTATTTTCTGCATTTTAATCCCTAATCAGGCCTTCCCAGCTTTTCGTATTGGTCATTCTGCCATACACAGTTGAAGAATGATAATGTTACATGTGAATTATTTTACATTGTGCCCTGCTGTATGTTCACATGATTGTGCTGGGTGTATAATTCCTTGCACAGATCAGAGGAAAGAAGCTGCGACCCACTGCACACACGTAGATGATTCTTCAGAACACTCTTATAGGTAACCATCTTATTACATATGAAACAGGAAAATGGTCACTCCTCATTATGGACTTGCTGATGTTACTTCAGATGTCCACACGCACTGAATGATTTATTACACATCACAGGAAAATGGCTGATCCCTGCTGTGTATGTGTTGATGTGCCTTCAAATGTCACCTACTAAATGACTTGTTACACATACCACAGAAATGCAGCTGCTACCCACTATGTATGCATTCATGTACCATGAGCTCACTGTTAGATGTATATGACTTATTACATACAGAACAGGAAAACAGACCCACCCCACTATGGATGCGTTGATGTTTCCTCAGCTGACTGTTACTTCTATAAGATCTATTACACAGAGTACATGAAAATGGCCGTTCTCCACTATGTATGCGTTCATGTATCTTCAATTCACTCTTAGACCTGTATGACTTATTACATACAAGACAGGGAAACAGACCCAACCCACTATGCATCCGTTGATGTGACCTCAGCTGACTGTTACTTGCATAAGATTTATTACACAGATTACAAGAAAAGGGCCGCTCCCCACTATGCATGCGTTGGTGTGTCTTCAGGTCATTACTGTGGATATATGACTTGTGACACAAATCACAGGAAAATGGCCGGTCCCCATTGTGTATGTGTTGATGCAGCTTTAAATAATACTGCCTAGTAAATGACCTATTACACACATCACAGGAATACGGCCGCTCCCCAATATGTATACTACGTACATGTCCTTTCAGATGATTGTGCTGACTAAATGACTTATTACACAAATGACACGAATACGGCCGCTCTCCACTATGTATACGCTGATGTTCCTTCAAATGACCATACCTCGTAAATGGTTTATTGCATACATCACAGAAAAGCGACCGGACTGCATCATGTATAAGTTGATGTCTCTTCATATCACTTCTACGGATGAATGTTTTGTAACACACGTCACAGGAAAATGGCCGCTCACCACTATGTGTACGTTGATGTTCCTTCAAATGATTATTCCTCGTGAATGATTTGTTGCATACATCACAGAAAGGTGATTGGTGCATACTTTCATGTCTCTTCAGACCACTGCTAAGGCTGAATGTCTGACAACACACATTGCAGGAAAATGGAAACTCACCATGTTTGGCTTGATCCTCTTTCACGGTGCCCTGGAAAAGAGACAAATACTGTAACATGCTGTAGCATGCTTCCGCAGCAGTGAAACAACATGCAACTATAGCGGAACTGCTTGAAATATTGTTTTCTGTGTGATCATGCTTAGGCTACATGGAGATATCTGTTAATTAGATCAGTAATGACTTATGCTTGCCCTGCCTGGGAATTTGCAGCAGTCACCTTTTAACATTGCAATGGCTGCATAGGAAGGTTCTCCACACTAGTAAATGTCCAAGGTGCACATTGATCTGTGAATTGCACATGGCTCTTCAAGTATCATGTATTTATATGTGGTGCAATCCAAAAGTTCCCGAAATATATTAATAAAAACTATCACATCTTACCTAGATCTTATTCTGCACCATCAACTTCAAAGTAGTCCCCTTGGGAGGGCATACACCGATCCCAGCGTTTCTGCCACTTTTCAAATGCATCCTGGAAGTCTTTCTTTGTTAGGGTGTTTAGTACCGTCTGCGTTTCCGCTTGAATTTCCTCAACTGTATCAAATCTTCTCCCCTTCAACTTGATTTTCATCTTGGGGAAGAGAAAGAAGTCGCATGGAGCTAAGTCTGTCAAGTATGGTGGGTGGAGAACAACTGCCATCTTGTTTTTAGCCAAAAATTCCTGCATAATGTAAGCCATATGTGGTCGTGCGTTGTCATGGTGGAGTACCCAGTCGTTCGTGCGCCACTTCTCTGGACGTNTGCTGCTTGCTTTCAGGGTTGTAGCCATAAACCCAACTTTCGTCACCAGTGACAACCTTCGAAAGAAAGTCTGGATCCTCTTGAAGCTGTTGCTGAAGTTCCCTGAAGACTTCCAAGCGATGCTGCTTCTGTTCATTTTGCAGCAGTTGTGGCACAAACTTCGCCACACTCCTCCTCATGTTCAGTTCCTCTGACAAAATTCGTTGACATGTACCATAACTTAGTCCCAAGGTGTTACAGAGGTCTTGGATGGTCAGTCTACGATCTTGCAGAATCAGATACCTAACTTTCGCGACACTTTCTGGTATTTTGCCCATTGACGGCCATCCTGAACGATCGTCATCATCAGTCAATATTCGGCCATTTTTAAAACACTTATACCAGTTGTAAGTTTGTGTCTGGCCTAAACTGTTTTCACCAAAAGCTTGTTTCAACATTTGGTCCATTTCTGCAGCTGCTCTCTCAGGTCAGCCATCGCAAAACTGCAAACTCACGGAAACACAACAATGGAAATACGTTCACCAACAATAAACCCAACCACTCAACTTGATGCTGCTTGCCACACTGATTCAAGAAGGATGTGTGAAGAGACACCTAGCGGTATTTTGATGTACTCATAACCATTCATGTGCAAAATTCAAATTTCGGAAACTTTTGGATTGCCCCACGTAATTACATAAGGAGATTGTGCAGGCAACAAGCAGGGGTCATACAAAATCATGAAAATTCAAAAGTTTGTGACCTTGGAAAAGGCAAAGCCTCACAAAGAAAATATAAGAGGCTTAAACTCGGCAGCGGTAAAGCATATGACTGTTCAAGTGACTGGGCAGCTGTTTTAATATGAGCCACATGACTTAGGGGTTGATCTGCTGACAGAGGCCTTGTTCATATTGTGCACAGACACACTAAAGCTACATGTAAAACTGTAAATATGTAGTATCAAAAGGATCCAGACTGTTCACAACTATGTAGAATGTAAACATGTAAAACTGTAAATGCAGATGAGATGTATTACTGAGCATGACAAACCTGTCCTTTCATCAGAGAGAAGTACTCCACATTGACAAAACCACAACTATCTGACAGTAATAAAAATTTGGTCTTAGGCCTGAGATACGCGTTGAATGGCCAAATGACCATCAATCATAATGTGACTGGCTGAGTGACAGTCATAATGTGACTTCTACTTTGGGTCAGTCAGTCACGGCTAATAGACCATGAGATGCAGTTAAGTGTGTGAGTTGCAAGCCAGCTGCCATCCAACAAGAGCGCAAGTAAGCAAGCTATGAATCCCCGGGGTTAACAGCCATAACCAAGTAATGACTAGCAAAGAGATAACAGAGTGAGACACAGCATATGCCGTAGTTATCTGTTAAATGTGTAGATCAGCGATAGCATTAAAGCATTTGTAGGGACGAGTTATAAGTGTTCAATAAATCCAATTATCACTCCAAATCAAAAGTCCAGTGACTAACACGTGACAATATCTTTGTTCCATCTGACCATCAAAAGGAACAGGAATTGCTGACACAAAATACTGATCAGGAAGAAAATTGTTCTTCTAAAATCTACTGAGGCCTCAGCTGGAAGATGAACTCCCGAGTCCACTAAGGATCAGTGGTAGGGCCTCTACTATCCCTGTCAGTAAGCAAAACAGGCAGCTGCAGATGCCTTGCTATTAGCAAGAGAAGAGAAAAAGCAACTCACCGCATGTTCAACTTTTATTCCTGGAAATGATATCGGAACTGGATTCCCTTCCTCTTCCACATCTGAAGCCTCCTGAACTTTTATACTGATGGCCTGAAATGCACCATGAGGAGACGCAAGACCGGTCTCAGTACATGAACCTGGGACATCTTCTTGTGGATGTGCACAGTCCTGCAAAACCAGCAAACCTGTATCAGTCATGGCTGTGTGCTCTCATTACATGAAACTGCATATACTTTCATTACTATGGTCACTGTGCAGTGCATCACCCTCATGACGGCTGCTCTGTACAGATTTTCTTGATCTAACTAACAGAAATCTTACTAGTTAACAACTCCATGGTGCGGTCTTTGTCTTGAACACATAATAGTCACTTGGAGAATGAAGAAATCAGTAGCCCATCACTGGTTCCTCTCCTGAGCCATAGCCTAGAGATCTGCTCTTAATACTGCCCTTCCATCTATGTACAGGTCTCCCAGTTGGCCCTTCCTTCCACGTTTTCCAACCAAAACTTTCTACGGATGCATCATCTTTCACAGTTTTAGAACACCTGATGATGACCAATGGGGGTAATGGGCAGCCAGCGTGTAAGCCTGACAACCTTAAGACCATCTGTAAGCCAACTGTCTAGAGAAAATGTGAGAGCCTCAACGTCTCACAACCATTTGGGCCTTCACCTTTTCCTACTTTATTAGAAATGGGTCCTATTTTCTTTTACTTGCCTAATTCATCCTCTGGTTGCAAAATTCATCTTGAATGTATGAATTTATAAGGGATGGGCCTTCTTGGCCCTTGGACTGCAACAACAACGACCTACTGTGCCTCAGGGGGGAAAAAAATCATCTTAATCAACAATAAACTTTGGTTTCTAAGAAAGAATTCATATGAGCACTGGAAGAATAAATAATTTAAAATGGGTGCACTGTATGTTTCACTTATGAAAACATATTCACAACAAGACAAAAGCTGTTCTAATGTGTGATGTACTACAGTGGTGGAAAAATCCCCTTCCACACAACAGACTTTATGGAAGTCACACGGTGTACATGATCTGCTTGCAGCTGTGCATCAGCCAATGAGCAGTAAGTGTTTCTCAAGTGAACTGCTTCCAACAGCCAGATGGGAATGTAGTCCATTATGTCGAATAAGAATTTCTGAGAACTGAATTATGAAAACATAAAATCCTGTAAATTTTTATGGTCGGAACTAGAGAAATGAAGTGTAAATTCAGGGAAAGCAAGAATATGAGGAAACGTTAAGTCCAATAAAGTTTAATATTATGGTCATGTGCATTTAACAGGAAACATGCAAAAAGTGCATCAATTCGCAAAATAGGTAAAATCTGGGATCATAAAATCAAGGTTTCACTGTATTTCATCTTGAATGCAACTTGGTTCTTCATTTCCCTCAGTATTTTATTTCAACTGTATTGCTGGTATGCAGTGTGGCAGTACACTGCAAGCAATGTGCACAGCAAAATGCAGTCCTCTTGAGACATGTCAAAAAGGACTTTTCAAGAATTGACTCTTCACCAGACTGGAGAAATTTTGTATGAATGATGCAGATGAGAGAGAGAACAGGCAATTCTGGATGTGACTCAGATATGCCTAACACTGGACACAGAGAGGACATAACGACTCACCTCATATTCAGCTTTTATTCCTACAAGTGTCATTGGCACAGGATCCTCACTATCTTCGATATCTGAGGATTCTTCAATTTTTATGTTGACAGCCTGAACTCCACTACGAGACGATGATGAACATGCCTCACTATGCAAGCCTGGTGAATCTTTCTGTGAACCCAAGCAGTTCAGTAAAACCACCACACCGTTATGAGTCACTGGTATGTTATTATACAGAACAGGATACGCTTTCATTGTCATCACCATCCTGCACTGCATCAAACTGATAACCGCTATGTTATAATTATTTTATCATTTTTATTATTTTATCACTCTTATTTTAATTATATTATAAATAATGGTTTACCCTTTTGGGGTAACTCACCCCAAAGTATAAAAATTTTTAGAATGCAAAAGAATATAATTAGAATTATGTTGGGACGCAGAAGGAGGGATTCGTACAGGAACTTATTTAGAGAATCAGAAACCTTACCTCTGGCATCTCAGTACATACTATCTCTTTAGCTCTTTGTGATAAAAAATAGAAACAAATTCATAGTAAATTCAGAGATTCGTAGAATAAATACCAGACAGCAAAATAACCTCCATCAGCCTCTTGTAAATTTGAGTAAATACCAAAAGGGAGTTTACTGTTTAGGAACAAAGGTCTATAATAATCTACCACAATATACTAAGGATATATCGAGTGACACTAAGAGTTTTGAGGTACAATTAAAACAATTTTTATATTTACATTTTTTTATTCTTTACAGGAATATTTTGGTTATAAATCTTTTTAAGGTGAAAGTAGTTGTCTTGCTTTACAATTAAAGGAAGACAAGGTTGTCAGTTTGTGTTCTGGTTTTTAGATGCTTATTTTAGATATACACAATTTTTATATTCCTGTATACTAGTCTTTATTTCAATTTATTATATAATTAATGAATGTTATACAAAACTCATTAATGACATTATGTTTTAACTATTGAATTTTTAATTAATAGACTTGCATAAAACTGTACAAATTGTATAAGGTTTGCCATTACTTTTACTACTAAAATTAACTTATTTATTATATTGCATATGTTTACAGTATTTTATACAAATGTGCATGCTACTGGATGACAACTGTAATCCTTAGTTGTGACTGTAACAAGGACGATCGCCACATCTGCATGAGAATGTACTCTCGCTAGGATTTATGGAAGGCGAATAAATGAAAAAAAAAAATTAATTGCTGCCCCTCATGAAACCTGATGTCACATCACCCTGGCTACTACAGCTTGCTTCTCCTCCCTGGTCTGGGCCAAGTAATTGAAGTCTACACACTCCAAAATTATTTATTTAAATTCCATTTTAATAGTAATCTCTCATCCATGCAGACATCTCCCATCTGGTATCTTTTGTTCTGGATTTCTACGCTGTTTGTATGAACGTCTTGTCCCTCACATACATGCTGTATGACCTGCCCCTCACATCTTCCTTGAATTCATCATGCTAATAATACAGCAGACATTAGGCCCCCACAATGTGTGCACCCATTCTTACAAAATAAAAATACAGAAATGACTTTTAATACAAGCTTGTAGCAAATTGTCTAGTTCAATGATGTAACAAGAACATACAATTCCTTTCGGTCGATGAAAGCACAGAACAGTGCCCACGGTTTCTTTAAAAGTAGGGAATATTTCCTCAGCTATGTCCTATCAACATTTTTGGCACTCTTGCTGCAACAGACTGCCAGCCTTTTGTAAACTTCAAACTTGATCATGATGCATACTGGACCGTGGGTTGTGTCACAAGGTGGCTTATAAGAATCACTGTGATATATTTTGTTTCATGTACATGACATTCACACAGAATGACAATAGTACAACATGAGCAATGTGAAGAAGAAGAAATCCTCCTGAGACATGTCAAAAAGGATTTCTCAAGAATTCACCTATTCACCAGACTGGAGAAGTTTTGAGTGACAGATGCAAATGTGAAAGGGAACAGGCAATTCTGGATGTAAGCAATGTATGTTTACTAGTGGACACAAAAACATACAACTCACCTCATATTCAGCTTTTGTTCCTAAAATTGTCATTGGTACAGGATCCTCCCCATCTTCCATATCTGAGAATTCCTCGACTTTTATGTTGACAGCCGGAACACCATTGTGATATGACAATGCAAGTGCCTCAACATAAGAGCCTGGAACATCTTTCTGTGAACCCAAGCAGATCTGTAAAACCGCAATACCCTTATCACTCATGGTTATAATGTCAACACACAGAACAGGCCACACTTTCATTGACATCACAATTCTGCACTGCATCAAACTGACAACCACTGTTTTCCATTGTTTTCCTTCTATGCAACTACCAAAACCATTACTAACCACTAACAGCAAACAGGAGAGTCACCGTTTGTACCAGGCCTTTCTGGGCTAAAGAAATTCAGTCCACACCCTCCTGCAGCACTTTTTACTTATGGTCTCTTATAATCTTATCCTGTTATCCATGCATACATCTACCACCTGGAATCTTCTCTTGTGAATTTCTACCCAGATACCTGTCCCTCACAAACATGACACATGACTTGCCACTCACATCTTCCTTGAATTCATCATGTTAATAATGCAGAAGACACTAAGCCCCCACAATGTTTGCAACCATTCTTAGAATATTGCGAAAATATAAATTACTTTTAATAGAAGCTTTTAACAAGGGTTCAGTTCATTGCCCATGCAAATACATGCAACAAGACCATAACATTATGCAATGCAGGACCATTGCTAGGCAATTACCATGAAATAAGCAATTATACAACACCTGTTAGTAATGGCTCCACAAACAAGGGAATACAGGAATAATGAAAGCGGTATTTTCTACATGGTCTGTGTAGAAGTCTTACAAGCAAGGCTAGTTATCTAGTTCAGTTTTTAAGTTACTGAGTGTGAGTTAGACAACAGCTAGGGTTCAGCTGTTGGAAGCTCATACTGGAGGCTGGGTAGAGTTTGGGAATCCAGAAGAAACTGAAGCCATTACCAAGCAAGGATACTGAAGACTTGACTGTGGTCATTAGTATGTGCTGTAAAGCATCATCAGGCGCTATATCAAAAAGCCCAATAAATCTGGTCATCAATCCAAAACCCACCCATAGTCATATTCCATCATGTGACATTATTTTCTGAAGACATAAGCACAGAAGACTCACCATAATTCCTTTCAGAGAAGGAAATATTTCCTCAGCTTTCTGTAATACAATTTTTGGCAATCTTGTTGCAATAGACTGCTGAGTCTTTTGTAAACCTGAAACTTGATCATCACACATGATGGGCTGTCCGTTGTGTCGGAAAGAGGCTTACAAGAAACCTAGTGATATAGCCACAAAGTTCTGATGCGTGTACCAATACGTGACTTGGACTATGTGACTAAGTTCTGAAAGGGAACATACAATTTATGAGTGGTGTTAAAACACGGCACTTTAAGGAAACATATATTTAGATGGGTTACTTGGTTCTGTCAGCACTACCCAACAACAAATCTCTGAAGACAGTAATCTACATACTTAAAATAAGTATATTAACTATGCATTTGGATACACTGCAATTTCAATTACTTCATTCTAGGCCTTGGTGTTGTCAGAATTCTTAAGGAAAGGTGGACTTGCATGCCTAACTGATGAAAAATATAGACTGGTTAAACGTTCAACAAATAAGAAAAGAAATATCACAATGACATGCAGCAGGAAGTATAATCCATGGCAATACAGCAACAGCATATTAACAGAAAGAAGGAATTCAATTTCTTTTAAGGAACTATCATGTCACTTAATTGAAGGGACCATACAAAACCACGAAACGTACCAAAGCAAAATAGCCCATATCCTGGCTGAAATTGGAACTGACAGCATCCAAAATACAAGTGCATATCGGTACCCCTACGGCAACCCCTCACTTCTATAGTTCTGAAGCATTCCTCACATTAAAAGTGTGAAGTCCCTTATTTGTACAGTGGGTACATAAAAACCAAAAGTCTCAACCGCAGGACATTAACAAAGAAATAAGGTGATGTCTGAAGTGTTCTACAATTTCAAACATTAAAATGTGAACGCCAATTATGGGATAAATGCGACCCTGTAAATCGAATGTTACTTACACGTAAAAAATTCCTTTGTGTGCTTTCCAGTCTATTAATTTCTAGGTCAAAGTTATTCTAGAAGACCAATGCATATGGAAGATTTGTGGTTCTCACAACGTTGGTTACGAAGTTCTATCACCTAGGATGTAATAGATGTACTGCCGTATAGCCTTGACATAATTAAGGCAACGTATAAAACTATTATATCACTAAAACGAAAATTTATATGTAACAGAAATAGTAGTACAAACCACAGGATAACTTCCTAGACACGATTTACTTTCAAATTTGGATGAAACCGTTCACCTTTCAAGATTTCTTTACAACGCACTTCCGGTACTTTCAACCCTTTCAACGTTCCCAACGTTCCCAACAGTCAGTCGGTCGTGGCCGTCGCGGTCGTCGCTGTCATCAGTTACATCCGTTCTACCCCGTGAACCCGTGAACGTGACCGAACGTGAAGCTCCTGAAACTCGTCGGTATTGGTGGGCAACATGGCCGCCGTGACGTCACGAGTGCATTACTTATGTCCTCTCTACGCATCATTCCTTAACTAAATATAAAAGTGCCCGCCAAAGCCGAGAGCACAATCGGTAAGAAGGTATGCTAACAGAGCATCTACTTTATGGAGCTCCTCGCTCCCCCCCCCCCAGGGGTTGCGTCATTCGCTATAACAGTAATAAATAATTTTGCAACCAGATCTCTTGTACTGCAGAGGTTCTTAACCCACACAGCCTTTTTTTTTTTTGGGGGGGGGGTGTTCTGTGTTCAATATCACTTCACCCATAACCTTTGGTATGGTTCTGAGCGAAGGGTTATTAATCT